TCACACTGGGCCAAAGCCTTCTTATTGTAACCTCCAAGATGTTTTCATTTCCAAAGTCAAAGGTCGTCAGAGTTGCTGAGTTCGGGGAGCTACGGGATGGGAAATCTCTAGGAAAGCCAGGCTGGCTCCTTAAGTGGCATCACCCAAGTTGGCCACCACACTTCCCCAGACTCAGTCATTTCTTGGCCCCCTGTTTCCCCAGCTGCGCAGCAGGGGTTTGGACTCGTGGCTGCTGAGTTCCTCTCCAGCTTCCATGCCCCGTGGCTGTGACTTATCGACTAGCCCACCCTGTGGATGTAGGGCTGATGCAGCCCTGATCGTCTTCTGAGTGCCAGGTGGCCATGAGAGAGGGAGGCCATGAGAGGGAGGGGAGGCCTCTGTCATCTGCTTAGTGCCACCCCCTCTCCAGCCCATCCCAGGCCCGCTGCCGTCTTGGGTTCCTGCATGAACAGTCCTTCTCCTTAAAGCGGGTGATGTTCGATTTCACCAGCCCAACTCCAAGAAGCCCACCCTAGGGAGGATGGAGGGAGTCACCAAGCCCCACGCCCATGTCTGCTCTGTCAGGGAGCTGGGCAGGCAGAGTGGTGCTCTCTTGACTCAGCCTCAAACCTTTGCTTTCCTCTTACTCCAAATAAAGCCACAGCCCTGGTGAGGGAGCCCGGAGGCCTGAGGGCATCCTGCTGGGTGCCTGGCACTCCCTAGATCCTCCCTGCCTGGGTGGTGGGCATCTGCAGTTCTCCCACACTGGTAGCTGCAGAGCTTGTGGGCAGAGTCAGGCAGATAGAGATTGGGTGCCTGCACAGCCAACTCCTCCCCATGGCTGGCTGACCCACCAGGAAGGGGAGGATGTTGTTTCTTGTTATTACATTTTTTGAGAAAAGCTGTGCAGACCTGGGAGATGTCTGTGGCTCCCGTGCAGTCATGGTTGGTCTGTGCTCTGGGAGTCCCTTCTGGTCTGAAGGCTCAAGGGTGCAAACAGGTGCTGAGAGGGAACAAGAAAGGGAGACGGGGGTGCAACATGCCCCATGATAGACCAGGAGTGAGTTCTGTGGCCACACATTCTAATCCTCACAACTGCAGTGTGATTTAGGGCAAAGCCCTTGCCTACTCTGATTCTTGCCTTAAGTGAAAAGGAAAGTCAAGTTCAATGAACTGTGGCTCTTTAGTGGGTGGATTTGCATGTACCATGGATTACATGTACCAGGGTCTAGGGAGTGCCAGGTGCTCAGCAGGATGCCCTCAGGCCTCTGGGCTCCCTCGACAGGGCCGTGGCTTTATTTGGAGTAAGAGGAAAGCAAAGGTTTGAGGCTGAGTCAAGAGGGCGACACTCTGCCTGCCCAGCTCCCCAACAGAGAAGACGCGGGCAGGAGCCTTGGTCCAGTGTCCTCTCCAGGGTGGGTTCCTTGGGGTCGGGCTGGTGAAAGTGAGTATCACCCACAGCAAGGAGAAGGACTGTTCATGCGGGAACCCAAGGCGGCAGCAGGGTTGAAAACCCATCCACACACAGTCGACACCTGCTGTCACACCAGGCTAATCTGGAACATCTTTCTTTGGTGCATTAAATACCTGCTATTAAATAAAGGGCTGTGACTAGGTAGCAAAGTAACACCCTACAGTAGAGGCTGTTTGTAATCTGACATCAGAGGCTGTAAGGCAGCATCCTTGAGCCAAGTACTAATATTCTTATCTTAATTAGAATGTAACAGATCATGTTTTAAAATTTCTCCTTGAATCTGTCACTTTGCCCTCCTCTTCCTGGGTGATTCCCCGGGCAGTGCTGGTGGGGGTCATCATAATGCCCCTTGTCCCAGATTCCCGTCTTTTAGATGGGACTCGAGCGCTGATCATTTCAGCACTTATCTCTGGGGTCAACATGGTTCAGTTTGCTATGTGAAGTCCAGGGGAGATAACCACGCCGTGCACACATGAGATTGGCTGAGTCAGCAGGACTGTGCAATTGTCAAAAGGCCTGCACCCTGCCCTGCCCCTCCCATAGGCCCCTAGAGCATTGCCAGGTGCAGAGCTCCACAGCTCTCCTTCCCAAGGAGTGATCAGAGGGTGAGAACGCAGAGCCCCGGTGGACAGGTAAAAGCACTGGGATCTTTCTGCCCAGAAAAGGGAAAGTCGCACGTTTATATCCTAGAGGAAAGTGACAAAACTTCCTCTGTGCTGAAGTTCAGGTAAGGAGTGTGGTTTGTAAAGCTGACTGGGGAGGGTGATCCCTCTTTATTGTTCATTATGCTTGCAGCCTCCTTGGCAGCATCGTGCAAAATGTGTCTTACTAGCTTCTGGTGCTTATGCAGTTGGCACAAGCATTGGTGGAGCTCCTCACTGTGCTGAGGGAGTGACCAGGGCTGGGCACTGGGGGTCATGGCAGTGACCAGGACAGGCACAGCCCTGCCTTCCCAAACTATGTTTTATTGTGGTGGGATCTGGCGGCCCTGTATAGTGTGTTCAGCTGCTCCTGCTGCTGGGGGTTCTGCTCTCTGCCTTCCGCTGCTTCCCACACGCTATCGATGTGTGTTCCAGCCCCTAGCCCCTAGTCCTGCTTTCCATACTGCAGGGGCTCATAGCTGCCATTTCCCCATCTTCTTAAAGGGCAGGATTTCCTGGCAGAGACATAAGGTCTTTCTGGAAATGAAAGAAGCTGATGCATGTGTTTTCTTTTCTGAATTCCTTAAAATAAAAGGAATCCATTTCCAGCTATTCCCTGCCTTGCTTTTATGTGGGAGTGCTGGTCCTAGCTGCCCATCTGATCAGCTGACATATACAGGGTACTTGGGACCCAGGCACTGTTGCTCCTTGGGATTGAAAGATGAAAGCCATAGGGCCGGGTGCGATGGCTCATGCCTGTAATCCCCGCACTTTGGGAGGCCAAGGCAGGCAGATCACCTGAGGTCAGGAGTTTGAGAACAGCCTGGCCAACATGGTGAAATCCCATCTCTACTAAAAATATAAAAATTAGCAGGAGATGGTGGTACGCACCTGTAATCACAGCTACTCAGGAGGCTGAGGCACAAGCATTTCTTGAACCTAGAGGCAGAAGTTGCAGTGAGCTGAGATCGTACCACTGTACTCTTTGAGACTCTGTCTCAAGAAAAAAAAGAAAGGAATGAAAGGCACAGCCTGGCTTGGCTGGAAATGGAACATGCATCCACATATCCCCTGCGTCTCTATCAGGGGTGGCGAAGGCCTGCCCCCAGCACATGGTGGACTGAGTAAATGTTGATCAGTGAGACCTTGATCAGAGTTTCACAACCCACAGAGGGAGCTGTATTGGAAGTTCAAGGGTGGACACCTGGGCATGGTCCCAGGAAGAAGGCTGTAGTGAGTTCTAAGAAGAGTGCTGGTGACTATGAGAGATGGGGGTGGAGGTTCCTCTCTTGAAAGCTGTCTTGATAATCACATGTGGGGTGATAAGGGCTCTGGTCCAGGGGAGGGGTCTAGGCACAGAGGGGGCTGAATCTGATGGCATCAGGACTTGGCAATGGGGTGTGGGGGCAGCATCAGAGATGACTCCAGTGCCTGAGGGTGGAAACTGGGAGATCACTGGGATCACTGACAGAAATGGGGAGCTGGGGGGTGCTAGGCCAATTTTCCTGATTAGATTTCCTACCAAACTGCAGGAATAAGGTGAGAGCCATCGCCCTGGGTGGATTTCTGTTGGGAGCTCTATCTCTGGACCACTGTGGACAAGTATTTCTTAGAATGACCCCCAGCGGCCCAATTGTAAGTTTAGAGGGGCAGCTCTTGACAGGAGCAAACCACAGGTCCTCTGCAACCCCCCAGCAGAGTCCCAATCATGTGATGTGTAGCCAGTGGAGGCCATGAAAGTGGTGGGGTTCCCAGCAGGGACCGGCTCCTGTCTTGGGTTTCCAAGACAGAGTCAGGGGTGCTGCTTTGGGGGTGGTCTGCGGGGGCCTCGTCTAAGACACGATGCTTTCTCCTCCGCCTGGGTCCTATCTGCACTGCATCCGGCACAGCCTCCTCTAACTCAGGCATGAGGATGGCCCACATATTAATGCAGGTTACTCTGAACCTGAAGAAGCCTGTGGGTTACTTCGCTAGGAATGAGGAAGATGAGGAACTAGATAACAATGCTGGTCTGGTATCTGCCTGATAGTGCTTTGCCAAGACTAAGCTTTCTTCCCCTTCTGAGCAAAACAGAAACTGGAGTCGGACGAATGGGGATTAAAACACAACTGAGTTGATATGAAATGTAATAGGCAACTCTATGGACACAGAAAGTAGGTTAGAGGCTGCTTAGGACCTAGCGTGGAGCGGGGCAGTAAGGAGCCGTAGCTGAAGGCTGTGGAGTTTCTTTGTGCGGATGAAAATGTTCTACAGCTGACTGGTGCGCATGGCTGCGAACATCCTAAAAGCCAGTGGAGTGCGCACTTTAAACAGGCGAATTGTACGGTATACGAATTATGTTTCAATAAAGCTCTTACACACCAGCTAAGATGCGTGGCCATGGCTGGGCTTCCTACAGTGCCCCCCACCCCAAATTGAACTTACTCTCCCAGCACTTGGGCCTCCCCATTGTTCTCTGTCTTCCCTGAGGACAAGCCCCTCTCCAAGAGGGACAGAGCAGGGGCCATGGGCCACCACTCAGGAAAGGCGCTCCTCTCCCCTGGGTGAGGGAGGCCAGAGGGCATGGACAGAGCCTTTTCAGTCATGCAGAAAACATGGGGCTTCAGAAATGCAGCTCCCAAAACCCCCTACGCAGGGCCATGCAGAAGCCAACCCAGTTCTTATTTTCCCAGGATGATGAACAATTTCCAAAGCTTAGTAGGATTGGGGGTGATTTGTCTCATGGTCTGTTGTTTTCCTACTTTCCTATACCTCGTATATATATAAACTTAGGTCAAATGTAAATAAAATCAGGGACGGGGTTGGAGTGCAGCAGGAAAGAGCCTGCTGGTAGGAATCGGAGTCTCTGGGCTGTCGGGCCAGGCTGGGCGGGCTCCCTTGCTGATGGCCTCCCCCTGGTCTTGCAGGAGCCATGTGGCTAGAAATCATCCTCACATCAGTGCTGGGCTTTGCCATCTACTGGTTCATCTCCCGGGACAAAGAGGAAACTTTGCCACTTGAAGATGGGTGGTGGGGGCCGGGCACGAGGCCGGCAGCCAGGGAGGACGAGAGCATCCGCCCTTTCAAGGTGGAAACGTCAGATGAGGAGATCCACGTAAGGCACCTTGGGCCAGGCCGGGCTGGGCAGTGGGGAGGGTTCGGAGACTGGGGTTGGGTCTCAGGCCAGAGGCAGGAGGGGACAGGGACTTGGGAGTGGTCCATCCCACTTGGGAGTGTGTTTCAGTCTGCTCTTCCCCTGCTGGCCAGGTGCATGTTGCTTTGGAGAGGTGTGCCCAGCCCTCCCACTTCTTCACTACCCCAGGCCCAGCAGCTCAGTCAGGGGAGGGGGTGCCAGCAGACCCAGTTACCTGCATCGAAAGTCACAGAAAGCAACCATCATCACCTCCTCTATGCCGCCTGAAGCTTTGGGGGTGGGGCAGGGGCGGGAAGCACTGAGAAGGCAGGGATGGCGCTGGTTAGGCACCGGCTGTGTGTCAGCCTATCCTGGTCACATTCGGTCCCTGTGGTGATCCTGCAGGGTGAGGACCGTTGTTCCCATTCTGCAGCTGCAGAAACTGAAGCTCAGGGGTATAAAGCAGCTGGTTCAAGGTGGCCTAGGTAACAAGTGGAAGAATTTTAAGTCAGGTCTAACCCCGAAGCTGCTGCCCCTCCTCTGCACAGGGATAGAGAAAGGAAGGAGGTGATGGAGCAGGTGGGGTGACCTGAGAATGCAGCCCTGGGGAGGGGCAAGGCTTGAGAGGGGACCAGGAGGGTAGGCAGGCCTGGCATAGCCCTGCCAGTCCTTTCATTCTGTGGATTTTGAGCACCTACTGTGTGCAGGCCCAATGAGTGCTTAGGAAAAGAGAGAGCCTCTTCTGTCCAACTGTATACAGTCCAGTGGATGAGAGAAGGAATGTGCACAAAGAGAAGTGGACTAAAAGATGAATAAGGATGGGCCTGGTGCAGTGACTCACGCCTGTAATCCTGGCACTTTGGGAGGCCAAAACTGGTGGATCACTTGAGGTCAGGAGTTCAAGACCAGCCTGGCCAACATGGTGAAACCCCATCTCTACTAAAAATACAAAAAGTTAGCCAGCATTGTGGTGGGCATCTATAATAATCCCACCTACTCCAGAGGCTGAGGCAGGAGAATCACTTGAACCCAGGAGGCAGAGGCTGCAGTGAGCTAAGATCACACCAATGCACTCCAGCCTGGGCGACAAGAGCAAAACCCCGCTTCAGAAAAAAAAAAAGATGAGTAAGGATAAGTATCACAAAAAGCATGGATAAAAAGTCCTGAGAGTTCCAAGGAGGAGGGGATTTAAAAGCAGAAGCTGGCTAAACTCAAGAGAAACCAGGCTGAGGCTGGCTGGGTGGGACTTGCTTGCAGTAGCCTTGCTAAGGCTGAGGCTGAGCCCTGAGGAAAACTCCTTTAGGGAATCAGATTCCTAAGGAGTCTAAGATGTCTAAAATCTGTTTGGGAGCGACTAAAGCCCTTGGGAAGAAGCCTGGGAATGGTGACACTTGGGAAGAAGCCTGGGAATGGTGACACTTGGGAAGAAGCCTGGGAATGGTGACACTTGGGAAGAAGCCTGGGAATGGTGACACTTGAGAGGCTCCATGAGCTGGTGTGAACTTCCTCCCGCTGGGGCTGCTCTTTCAGCCTAATGAGACTTGCACCCAATCTCTTGGAGTGTAATTTTTGTTTTTTGTTTTTCTTTTTCTTTCTTTTTTCTTTTTTTTTTTTTTGGAGACAGGGTCTTGCTCTGTCACCCAGGCTGGAAGTGCAGTGGTGTGATCTTGGCTCACTGACACCTCCACCTCCCAGGTTCAAGCAATTCTCCTACTTCAGCCTCCCGAGTAGGTGGGATTACAGGCACCCACCACCATGTCTGGCTAATTTTTTTTTTTGAGACAAGGTCTCACTATGTTGCCCAGGCTGGAGTGCAGTGGCTATTCAGAGGTGTGATCCCACTACTGATCAGCACGGGAGTTTTGACCTGCTCCATTTCCGACCTGGGCCAGTTCATCCCTCCTTAGGCAACCTGGTGGTCCCCCGCTCCCAGGAGGCACCATATCGATGCAGAACTTAGTGCAGACACCCGATCGGCATAGCGCACTACAGCCCAGAACTCCTGGGCTCAAGTGATCCTCCCACCTCAGCCTCTCCTGAGTAGCTGGGACTACAGGCATGCACCACCGTACCCAGCTAATTTTTGTATTTTTAGTAGAGACGGGGTTTCATCATCTTGGCCAGGCTGGTCTTGAACTCCTGACTTCAAGTGATCCACCCGCCTCGGTCTCCCAAAGTGCTGGGATTACAGGTGTTAGCCACCGCACTAGGCCTGGTCTAATTTTTTATCCCGACTGAGTTATAATGTATCATTCAATGTTACATATCACCGGTCAGCAAATCATCGCTCATAGACCAAATGTAGCCTGTACCTGTTTTTGCACAGCGCCATGCCAAGAATAGTACTTACCTCGGGAAAAAAATCAAAAGAATAGTTTGTGACATGTGAAAGTTATATGGGGGTCAGATTTCAGTGTCCATAAATAAAGTTTTATTGGAAACACACCACTCCTATTCATCTGTGCATTGGCTGTGGCTGCTTTCACACTAGGAAGACAGTTAAAATCACTGCAGCCTGCAAAGCCTAAAATATTTACTACCTGTCCCTTTACAGAAAAAGCTTGCCAACTCCTGCTATAGAGAAGCCTGGGCAAATTAAACATGAGTATTGTTTATATACTTAAGGAATAAAAGATGGGCTCAGCTCAGTGGCTCATGCCTGTAATCCCACCACTTTGGGAGGCCAAGCCAGACAGATCACTTGAAGCCAGGAGTTAGAGACCAGCTTGGCGAACATGGCAAAACCCCGTCTCTACTAAAAATGCAAAAATCAGGCATGGTAGTGCAGCCTGTAATCCCAGCTAATCTGGAGGCTGAGGCACAAATTGCTTGAACCTGGGAGGTGGAGGTTGCAGTGAGCTGAGATCGCACCACTGCACTCCAGCCTGGGCACCAGAGTGACACCCTATCTCCAAAAAAAAAAAAAAAAGAAAGAAAAATGCGAAGTCTGTAGTGAAGGAGGAAGAAGGGAAGAACACATCTGCTTTGGGACTAGCCAGTGGGAAACTGCTTTGCTGCTACCATAGTGCAGTGTCTTGTGGCTGCAGGGTTTGCTGTGTTTTCTGGAAACAAACTTTTCTCTTGTGTTCTGCCATATCCATCCCTCTCTCTTTGGGGTCCCACATTTTGCTCTAGGACTTACACCAGAGGATCGATAAGTTCCGTTTCACCCCACCTTTGGAAGACAGCTGCTTCCACTATGGCTTCAACTCCAACTATCTGAAGAAAGTCATCTCCTACTGGCGGAATGAATTTGACTGGAAGAAGCAGGTGGAGATTCTCAACAGATACCCTCACTTCAAGACTAAGATTGAAGGTATGTTTGCAAAACGCCAGCCACAGAGGGATGTGTGTCATGAGAACAGCCTTCTTGCACAATGATTTAGAGTCAGATAAAGTTGGGGAGATTCAGAACCAAATTACAGGTCACTGCGATGTACTTATAAATTGTAAGTGCAAAAATATTGCAGTCACAACCAATCTGTCCATCTTTAGCACTAGGCAGGAATACATATATGTAATTTAAAAACCAAAGAAATACAGCATCCAGTCCAATTATGTGGCAGTCTTTGAGAGGAAGGATGGAGATGAGATTTAGCCCTGGGCAGGGCCCTGGGCAGCTCAACCCGTTCTTGGAGTTTTGGAGTCCATGACGTCATGACTGTTCAATGAGTCAGGATCTTATGAAACGCTGTCCTGTCTGTCCGCATCTCTAAGCCTCAGGTCCCAACTGTATCACAGGTTGTCACACAATGTCAGAAGGAAAGGAAGGTATCTTTCAGAATTTTCTTGGGAAGGTAACCCCAGGATTATTGGGATGAAATAATAGTTTCCTTAGTGAAAAAGCATTTTTCTAACCCCAGAAAGATTTAGAATCGAATATGGGCCAGGTGCAGTGGCTCACACCTATAATCCCAGCACTGTGGGAGGCTGAGGCGGGCTGATCACCTGAGGTCAGGAATTCGAAACCAGCCTGGCCAACACGGTGAAACCCTGTCTCTACTAAAAATACAAAAATTAGGTGGTGGCAGACACCTGTAATCCCAGCTACTTGGGAGTCTGAGGCAAGAGAATTGCTTGAACCTGAGAGGCAGAGGTTGCAGTGAGCCAAGATCGTGCCATTCTAGCCTGGTCCTTAGAGTGAGACCCTGTCTCAAAAACAAACAAAAATATGCAAATGCTTTTTAAGAAAATCAAACCTATACTATTAATTTTTAAATTTCTATTTATTTTTAATTTTAGTCAAATGGCTATATAAAATTTACCATCTTAACCACCTTAAGATATATTTCAGTAGCGTTAAGCATGCTCACATTGTAATAGAACCGTCACCATCATCCATCTTCGGAGCTTTTTCATCTTCCCAGCTGAAACTCTGTACTTATTAAATGCTAACTTTTCGTTCTTCCCTTACGTAGCCCTTGGCGACCACCACTCTCTGTCTCTATGAATTTGACTACTCTTAGGTAGTGGATAGAAATGGAATTATACTGTATTTGTCTTTTTATGTTTATAGCTTATTTGACTAAGCATACTCTCCTCAGCACTGATGTTCATCCGCCTTGTAGCATGTGTCAGAATGTCCTTCCTTCTTTTGGCTGAAGAATATTCCATTGTATGGATGAGCCACATTTGGCTTATCCATTGTCTATCGAGGGACACTTGGGTTGATTCTACCTTTGGCAGTGGTGACTTAAGCTGCTGTGAACATGGGTGTACAAATGTCTCTTCCAGACTCTGCTCTTGGCCAGGTGCGGTGGCTCACGCCTGTAATCCAGCACTTTGAGAGGCTGAGATGGGTGGATCACTTGAGGCCAGGAGTTAGAGACCAGCCTGGCCAACATGGTGAAACCCCGTCTCTACTAAAAATGCAAAAATTAGCTGGGTGTGGTGGTGGGCACCTGTAATCCCAGCTACGCAGGAGGCTGAGGCAGGAGAATCGCTTGAACCTGAGAGGTAGAGGTTGCAATGAGCTAAGATCATACCACTGCCTGGGCTCCATCTCAAAAAAAAAAAAAAAAAAAAAAAAAAAAAAAGATTCTGCTGTCAGTTCTTTTGGATCTGTATCCAGAAGTGGCCTTGCTGCATCCTATGGTGATTCTGTGTTGAATTTTCTGAGGAGCCGCCACACTGCATCCGCAGTGGCTGCACCGTTTTACCTTCCCCCCAGCAATGCTTCAGAATCCCAAGTTCTCCAAATCCTTGCCAGTATTTTTTCCTTTTCTTCTTTTCGGTAAGGGCCATGCTAATGGGTCTAAAGTTTTGGTTTTGAGTTGCATTTTCCTGAGGTACTGATGTTGAGCATTTTTTTGTGCGGTACTTATTAGATTCTTTATCGTTTCTCTGAAGAAATGTCTGTACATGTCTTTGGTCCATTTTTGTTTTTTCTGTTAGGTTTTAGAACTCTCTATATATTCTGAATAAAATCTCTTGTATGGCATTTGCAAATGTTTTCTCCCACTCTGTGGGTTGCTGTACAATTCATCTTTTCAAGAGACAAGGTCTCGCTATGTTGCCCAGCTGGAGAGCAGTGGCTATTCACAGGCGTGATCATGGCTCACCACAGCCTCGAACTCCTAGGCTCAAGCAATCCTCTTGCCTTAGGCCTCCTGAATAGCTGGTACTATAGGTGAGCACCACTGTGCCCAGCCTGTTAATTTTTTATGTTGAGGAAATTGTGCATGATAGGAATCTTATTTTTAATGTTTAAGAAAGTTTGGCCTTTTCAAGGAACAGTTAAGATTTTAATTTATTAAAATTCTAGGAATTAGTCAAAGTATATGAAAGACATGTTGGTCAGCCAAATAAACTAAAGTTTCTAAAAAAGGAAACTGAAATTATACAATATTAACTGGGTGTGGTGGCATGTGCCTGTAGTCCCAGCTCTACTCAGGAGGCTGAGGCAGGAGGATCGCTTGAGCCCAGGAATTCGAGGCTGCAGTGAGCTATGAGTGCACCACTGCATGGGTGACAGATCAAGACCCCATCTTTTAAAAAAGGAGAGAGAAAGGAAGGATGGATGGAAACCTTGTCTCTGAGTGCCTGGGCAGCAGACATCCTTATTCTCCTGGTGCAAGGAGGGCAGGCCTGAGGGAGGGCGAGCAAGAGAAAAGCGAAGTCGAATCCCAGCGGTGTGTCCTGGAGCTTGAACGCTTCCTGGGCTCATCCAAGAACACCAAAAAAAAAAAAAAAAAAAAAAAATCTGGAATGATTTTCAAATTTGGACTCTTCTTGAGTGTTGCTGTATTCTTTACAGGATTTTGATATCTTCTGTTACGAGTCTAACAAGAGGATCCCAGCCACTTCCTCCCAGGCAAATTGCGGTGTGCAATGACCAGAGGTTCCTGTTTGGATCCCTGGCATGAAAGTGCCTGGCTTCTTTGAGTTTCACTTGGATCCCCGTGTTGCCCCATCCAGCAGAAATTGACAGGGCACCTGCTGTACCCAGGCATTCCGCTGGGGCTGGGGATGCATAGGGAGGACAGGGTCCCTCCTTCAAAGCTCACAGGCTCTTCAGGGGCAATTATGGCACACAGTGGCAGTGCTGTGAGGAGGCTCTGGGAGCTTCATGAGTCTCACAGTCTGCCTTTGGATGTTTGGGAAGGCTTCCTGAAGGAGGTGGAACCTAAGCTGAAATGAGGGGGACTTTGCCAGGTGTGTGGGAAGGTGGTCCAGGAAAGCGGGGACAGCATGTTCAAAGGCCCAGAGGCAGCCGGCAGTAAAGGGCCCTTTTCCTCCTGGCGGCTACAAGCCTTACCCCACTGGACCCTCTCAGGGTTCCTCAGGACACTGCATGTTTTTTTAGAGAAAGGGCCTCACTCTGTCACCCAGGCTGGAGTGCAGTGGTGTAATCACAGTTCACTGCAGCCTCAACCTCCTGAGCTCAGTCAATCCTCCCACCTCCGCTTCCCAAGTAGCTGGGACCACAGGTATGCACCACTACACTCAGCTAATTTTCTTTTTTTTTAACATTTTTACTAGAGACTAGGTTTACCATGTTGCCCAGGCTGATCTCAGACTCCTGGGCTCAAGCAGTCCTTCCACCTTGGCTTCCCAAAGTATTGAGATTATGGGCGTGAGCTACACACCCAGCGACATTTGGCGTTTACTGTGCAAAACCTCCCTCGGGTACAGCTGCTCCAGAAGGGCCAGTTTCCGGCATTGAGTTCATCGTGGACTTACCCATGTATGGTTCTGGCGCACTGCCCAGGGCTGGAGGCCTGTTCTTGGCCTTGGTCCATGTCGTTTGGACCTGGGTTCCTGCATTCTCTGCCCAACCTCCCACAGTGCTGAGTGGGCAGCTTCTGGTCTGCGGGCCCCACAAACCTTCAGTATTCCCCTGAATCTTGTCCTGGGCTCCCCAGGCTGGGGTTGGTCCAAGTCCTCCTCCCTCTTCTCTCTCACAGTGGACTTCTCAGGGTCCTCTGTCGCTGCACTGACTCCTGCACTCCTGACTGCTCACAGCCCAGGCCCCAACAGCCACTGCAGTGTTCTGTCCCCATCCACACTGGCCTCGCTGCTCAGCCTCCCTGTCCCTGCCACTTCCCTGCTCATTCCGTGCTGAGCTTCCAGATCTAACACACGTCCTGGGCCTCCCACCGCAGGCGACCAGGCTCTGTCCCAGTGTCTGAGGGCTTTCAGGGGTGCGAGACCTCTAGGAAAGCCCAACCCCATCACATCCAGGGAGAAGGGAACTGCCTGAGGCACCAGGTCTCCAGACTCCCTGCCTGTCCCTTTTTCCTTTACCCTCAGCCCTGATACCTGGTCCCCACCCCCCCCACCCCCTCCAAGCCCAGTGCCACCATCCTGAGCCCTTCTCAGCTCCGGGGTGCTGACCCAGCAGCCCTGTCTTGGAGCATCCTATGGGTGCCAGACCTATAGGGAAAGTCAAAGAGAGTATTTCCTCCCACAAAGGGAAACGGGGACCCATGAGGCAAACTATGAGCTATGGGCTTTTAAAAAAATATCTTGGCTGGGCGCGGTGGCTCATGCCTGTAATACCAGTACTTTGGGAGGCAGAGGCAGGCGGATCATGAGGTCAAGAGATCGAGACCATCCTGGCCACCATGGTGAAACCCTGTCTCTACTAAAATATTAAAATTAGCAGGGCATGGTGGCGCATACCTATAGTCCCAGCTACTTGGGAGGTTGAGGCAGGAGAATTGCATGAACCAAGGAGGTGGAGGTTGCAGTGAGCCAAGATTGTGCCACTGCACTCCAGCCTGGGAGACAACAGCAAGACTCTGTCTCAAAAATAAAAAGAGGAAATCCTGGCTGGGCATGGTGACTCACACTAGTAATCCCAGCACTTTGAGAGGCCAAGGTGGGAGGATGGCTTGAGCCCAGGAGTTTGAGACCAGCCTGGGCAACATAGCGAGACCCAATCTCTACAAAAAAAAATAGCAAAAATAAGCCAGACATGGTGTTGTCCACCTGTAGTCCCAGCTACTTGGGAGGCTGAAGTGGGAGGATCGCTTGAGCCTGGGAGGTTGAGGCTACACGTGAACTGTGATTGTGTCACTGCACTTCAGCCTGGGCCACACAGTGAGACCTCATCTCTAAGAAAAGAAAAAAAAAAGGAATTCCTGCAATGTGTGACAACATGGATAAACTGAGGAAATAACGCTAAGTGAAATAAGCCAAGCATAGAAGGATGAATACCACATGATTCCACCTGTATGAGGAATCTGAAATAGTCAAACTCACAGAAGCAGAGAGTAGAAGGGTGGCTGTCGGGGCTGGGGAAGAGGGGAAACAGCGCTGCCGATGGCGTGTGGAGTTTCAGTCCTGCCAGCTGCATGTGTCCTAGAGATGTGCTGTACAACAGAGCGCCATCAGTGTTGGGCACTCACAGATCTGTTGAAATCCATATTAAGTGTTATCGCCATATAATAAAAGGTTTAGGGCGGACACGGTGGCTCACACCTATAATCCCAGCACTTTGCAAGGCCGAGGCAGGTGGATCACCTGAGGTCAGGAGTTCAAGACCAGCCTGGTCAACATGGTGAAACCCTGTCTCTATAAAAAATACAAAAATTAGCCGGGAGGGGTGGCGCACACCTGTAATCCCAGCTACTTGGGAGGCTGAGGCAGGAGAATTGCTTGAACCTGGGAGGCAGAAGCTGCAGTGAGCCAAGATTGGTGCCACCGAACTCCAGTCTGGGCGACAGAGTGAGACTCCATCTCAAAAAAAAAAAAAGCTTAAACACTAAGGAAATCAGACTATGGACTTTATAGTTACTGTCTCAGTCCTAGTTGTTCATTAATTGTAATAAATGTACCATGCTAACATAAAATGTTAATAATGGAGGAAACCTGGTGGGTGTGAGGTATATGGGAATTTTCTGGACTCTGCAGTTTTTCAGCAATTCTAAACCTGTTCCAAAATACAGTTTAGACAGACAACACCTGTTGTCTTCAGAGAGTGGTATTACATGTGAATCTTCCCCCTTTGGCTTATCTGTATTTTCTAAGTTTTCTACAGTAAACATATTATTTATATATAATTTTTTAACAACAGAGCAGAACATTAGCTAGACCACGCTGACTGCACCAGCCCTGGTGGCAGAGGGTTCCAGCCACGGCAGCCACCCTCACTGTGAGTGCCATGAGGGCCCAGGTGCTGTCCAGGGCACTGGCCTGGGAAGGGGCTGCTCTCTTTTGATATGTGGAGGACCAAGTCAGTCCAGAGGAGACTAGAATCCGTTCACTTGCCCTTGGCTATGATGATGTTTCCAGCATTGCACTTACAAAAAGAAATCTTCCACTTTATTTATTCTATTTTTTTGAGATGGAGTCTTGCTCTGTTACCCAGGTTGGAGTGCAGTGGTGTGATCTCGGCTCAGTGCAACCTTTGATTCAGGTTCAAGCGATTCTCCTGCCTCAGCCTCCTAAGTAGCTGGGATTACAGTCGCGCACCACCACACCTGGCTAATTTTTGCATTTTTAGTAGAGATGGTGTTTTGCCATGTTGGCCAGGCTGGGCTGGAACTCCTGACCTCAGGTGATCTGCCCGCCTCGGCCTCCCAAAGTGCTGGGACTACAGGCACAAGCCACCACACCAGATCCAAAAGTCTTCCACTTTAAAGAAAAGGTTATTTTATAATTAGAAAAAGATAACATATTGTCAATGTGTATGAAAAAAATTATGTATTTAATACCTGTTCATTGTAGAAAAATTGGAAACTCCAAGAGAAAGTAAAAGTACCAGAATCTACTGCTCAAGGAGAACTGCTTTTTACATTCTTTTTTTTTTTTTTTTTGAGACGGAGTTTCATTCTTGTTACCCAGGCTGGAGTGCAATGGCGCGATCTCGGCTCACCGCAACCTCCGCCTCCTGGGTTCAGGCAATTCTCCTGCCTCAGCCTCCTGAGTAGCTGGGATTACAGGCACGCGCCACCATGCCCTGCTAATTTTTTGTATTTTTAGTAGAGACGGGGTTTCACCATGTTGACCAGGATGGTCTCGATTTCTTGACCTCGTGATCCATCCGCCTCGGCCTCCCAAAGTGCTGGCATTACAGGCTTGAGCCACCGCGCCCGGCCCTACATTCTTTTTTTTGAGACGGAGTTTCGCTCTTGTTACCCAGGCTGGAGTGCAATGGTGCGATCTTGGCTCACCACAACCTCTCCCTCCCCGGTTCAGGCAATTCTCCTCCCTCAGCCTCCTGAGTAGCTGGGACTACAGGCACACGCCACCATGCCCAGCTAATTTTTTGTATTTTTTTAGTAGAGACGGGGTTTCACCATGTTGACCAGGATGGTCTCGATGTCTTGACCTCGTGATCAACCTGCCTCAGCCTCCCAAAGTGTTGGGATTACAGGCTTGAGCCACCGTGCCCGGCTCTTTTTTTTTTTTTTTTTTTTTGAGATGGAGTCTTGCTCTGTCACTCAGGCTAGAGTGCAGTGGCATAATCTCGGCTCACTGCAACCTCCACCTCCTAGGTTCAAGCGATTTTCCTGCTTCAGCCTCCCGAGTAGCTAGGACTACAGGTGCCCGCCACCACACCTGGCTAAGTTTTGTATTTTTAGTAGAGATTTTTAGTATTTTTCACCATCTTGGCCAGGCTGTTCTCAAACTCCTGAACTCATGATCTACCTGTCTTGGTCTCCCAAAGTGCTGGGTGGGATTACAGGCATGAGCCACCGTGTTCGGCTGCTTTTTACGGTCTTGGAGTCTATCCTCTTTTAAAATTTACCAATACACAGTATAACTAGAGTATACACATACATGACTTTTTACAAAAACTGGTCACACAATGGATGTGACTTGATAATCTGCTTTTACCTCCCAGAAATATCTACTGATCTGTTTTCTTTCCTTTTTTTTTTTTTTTTTTGAGATGGAGTCTTGCTCTGTCACCAGGCTGGAGTACAGTGGCACAATCTCAGCTCACTGCAACCTCCGCCTCCTGGATTCAAGTGATTCTTCCGCCTCAGCCTCTCGAGTAGCTGGGACCAGAGGCCCGTGCCACCACGCCCAGCTAATTTTTTGTGTTTTTAGTAGAGACAGGGTTTCACCATGTTGGCTAGGATGGTCTCGATCTCTTGACCTCGTGATCTGCCCACCTCAGCCTCCCAAAGTGCTGGGATTACAGGTGTGAGCCACCGCGCCTGGCCTACTGATCTGTTTTCTATGTTAAATATGTACACATCTTCACTGTCCATTTAAATGACTGTATTGTACTCCAGTACACTATCAGGCTATAATCTACTTGATTAATCCTGTATTGCTAGATATATAGGGCTTTCTTCTTGCCCCCCAAATTTTAAATTATTGAACAAGTATTTATGGAGCCCTGCTGTAGGCCAGGAGCTGTCCTGAGCCCTGGGAACCCAGCAGTGCCTGCACAGACCTGGCCCTGTGTCAGGGGGCACCTTTGAGGAAACTGGGAGGTGGTCATGTAGCTCCCTTGCAGGGAAGCCTGAGTGAGGACATTGGTCATGTAGCTCCCTTGCAGGGAAGCCTGAGTGAGGACATTGGTGCTTCTGGAGCCAGTGTGAGCGTGAAACCAGTGTCAGCCATGATTACTGTCATCAGTACCATGGGGGGGCACTAAGGGTGGCATTACTCAATATCCAGGCTCTAGGGGGTGCCAGAGCCTGACCGCACAGGGTCTTCTACTCCCCCCACCCTGACTGTGCTTTGTTCCTCCAGGGCTGGACATCCACTTCATCCATGTGAAGCCCCCCCAGCTGCCTGCAGGCCGCACCCCGAAGCCCTTGCTGATGGTGCACGGCTGGCCTGGCTCTTTCTATGAGTTTTATAAGATTATCCCACTCCTGACTGACCCTAAGAACCACGGTCTGAGCGATGAGCACATTTTTGAAGTCATCTGCCCTTCCATCCCTGGCTACGGCTTTTCGGAGGCATCCTGCAAGAAGGGTATGGGCTGCTGGAGGCTCCATAACTGCCCGGTCCTCACGCAGAGCGGGCCAGGTGTTCCCACTAGGCTCTCCCTCCGGGAGGGTGAGCAGGGAGTTGGCCCGAGGAAGCTGGGAAGGGAGGGGCCTGAGAGGCCGGCCCAGGCATGCCGCCGCCTTCGGGGGCTGGAGACGCCACACTCCAGGATTCCTTCTTGCCTCAGAGCTTTCCCCATCTACATACACCTGGGGAGAGGCAGGGCTGAGAGATTTCACAGAACACCCAGAGGGCCCAAGGAGCAACCTGCCTGTGACTCTGTGCCTTTCCCCACCATGGCTAGGGTTCAACACGGTGGCCACCGCCAGGATCTTTTACAAGCTAATGCTGCGACTGGGCTTCCAGGAATTCTACATTCAAGGCGGGGACTGGGGGTCCCTGATCTGCACCAATATGGCCCAGCTGGTGCCCAGGTGAGGTCACTTCGCGGGCATGGGGGTGTGTGTGTGTGTCCTCTAAGAGGGGGACCTCTGGGCAGGGGAGGGGAGGGCATGTGTCCTGTCACTCAGCAGTGCCTAGGGCACGTTGACTTGGATTCTCCTGTCTATAATCCAGGGTAGCGGCTCTGGGTCAGGTTCCCAGGCAGAGAAGGCCTGTGAGAGGAGGGGAAGGTCAGATACTAGACCTCTCGGCTGGACCAAGCTCTGTGACAGCCCAGAGCAGAACTCCCCAGAAACTGATTTTCCTCAACTCCTGTGGCCTCCCCAGAGGGGCCGGTGCTGAAAGGGGCTGGCCCTGTGCTGGCTCCTCAGCCCCGAGGCCTGTTCCTCCTCCGCCATCTCTCCCCTCCCCCTCTCCTTGACACCAGCGGAGCCTCACCTGGGCCCCTCTCTCTGTCCTCAGCCACGTGAAAGGCCTGCACCTGAACATGTGTTTGGTGTTAAGCAACTTCTCCACCCTGACTGTTCTCCTGGGACCGCGTTTCGGGAGGTTTTTTGGCTACACCGAGAGGGACATGGAGCTGCTGTACCCCTTCAAAGAGAAGGTCTTCTACAGCCTGATGAGGGAGAGTGGCTACATGCACATCCAGTGTACCAAGCCTGACACTGTGGGTGAGTGTGCTCGGGGGGCCTTGCCCACCATCAGCTTCCCTGGGGTGGGGAGGTACCCTTAGGGGAATCTCACCACCCCACCCCACCCCAGTGCTGCCCACAGGAGGAAACCTCTTGTAAGAACCTCCCAGCTCTTTAGATCTTCAAACTGCATATTCCTATAGAATCAAGATGATGGACCCTCATGAGAGCCCTAGGCCAATTTAGCAACTCTCTTTAGCTGACTCAGTATTCATAGTGGCTTTCACCCCTGATTTCCCACCCCCAAGTCTACCTCACACACTGAGAGGCAGAGGGATGGAGAGGGTTGGGTAGGAGGAAGCTTGGGGGTGGACAGCTCTGGGGCTGCAGGGAAGAGGGGAGAGAGTACTACAGAGCCTTGGGGAAGAAGTTCCCAGGCAGTGGCTGGGTGCGGAGGCTCATGTCTGTAATCCCAGCACTTGGGAGGCCAAGGCAGGCAGATGACCTGAGGTTGGGAGTTCGAGACCAGCCTGACCAACATGGAGAAACCCTGTCTCCATGCGTGGTGGCACGTGTCTGTAATCCCAGCTACGCCGAAGGCTGAGTCAGGAGAATCACCTGGGAGGCGGAGGTTGCGGTGAGCCGAGATCACGCCATTGCACTCCAGCCTGGGCAAGAGCAAAACTCCATCTCAAAAAAAAAAAGTTCCCAGGCAGTGAGGGAGGGTTCAGCAATCACGTCTGCCATCAGGGTCCTGTTTAAGGACAATATTTTTTCAAAAAGATAAATTGATAAAGGAACCAGTAGAATTTTAACAAGAAAAATTCAAAGACAAAGGAACACTGAAATTAATTTGCTAACAGACACAAAACTTGTCAACATCCACAGAGTAATATCAATTAAATCTCTATGGGACAAAATTCATTGGCCTCTCTATGAACAAGAATCATTCCATTACACTCAGTTCTCTGCAGTTCACAGAATTGTAAAGTAGCTCAACAACAAGGAAAGACGGGACCTCTATAGAATCCCATAAGTCCAGAAGGGTCTGCTGGTAACTCCCCAGATCCCATTCAGAAGACACCCAGGAATTGTCTTGCCCATTTCCAAGTTCCTTATAGTCTTCTTTGTGGCAATCCCATGCCGAGACACACCCGGCATCTCATAATCATCATAATGGCACGTTATAAAACCAGTATTTTTCTCTGATTATAAAATACATGTTCATTGTCAAAAAGCTTAATAATGCAAAAAGTATAAAACATGAAAGATAATCTCATATAACCTCGCCCCCCTCCCCACATCCCCTCTTTCAAAAGAACTTGTGAACATTTTGGTGGTGGATTTTCACAAAGGAAGTACGTCCATATCACCGACATGGCCACAACAGTCTAGATGCCCCTTGGGGCCTCTTCCAGGCACTGTCCCCAGTCACCATGCTCTGACTTCTGACTGAGATGGTTTTGGTTGTACCTGTTTAACTCCTTGTATGAATGGAATCACAGAGCATGTACTCTTGAATCTGGCTGCTTTTTGCTTAATGTTACATTTGTGAGATTCATCTATGTTGTTGTCCCAGCCATTTTTTTTTTTTTTTGAGACCAAGTCTCACTCTGTCACCCAGGCTGGAGTGCGGTGGCACGATCTCGGCTCACTGCAGCCTCTGCCTTCTGGATTCAAGGGAGATGGAAGCACTTGCCTGACTTGCAGAAAGCCAGGTCACAGGGTTTACATGTGTACTGTAACGAGCTTTCATTGACCAGTTTTCATTCTCCTGCCTTAGTCTCCCAAGTAGCTGGGATTACAGGCACCCACCACCACGCCTGGCTAATTTTTTGTATTTTTAGTAGAGAAGGGGTTTCACCATGTTGGCCAGGCTGACCTCAGGAGATCCAATGCCTCAGCCTCCCAAAGTGCTGGTGTTAGAGGCGTGAGCCACCATGCCCAGCCTGTCCCAGTCATTTTTAATGACTGCACAGTATTTTGGCTTATGAGTATATCAATATTTACTTGTAACTGATCCCCTATTTTAGACTTTTTAGGTGGCGTCTCATGTTTCATGAATCAGCACAGACTGAAGAACCTCACCTTTTTAAAAATAGTGCTTGTATATACTTCTCAGTGGGACCCCACCAAATGCAGAGGCATGGACCCTTCAGTTTGAGGGAAGCTGAGCAGGCAGTGTGCAAAGCGCTGGGAGACAGTGGGAAAGCATCATTTCTGTTTATCAGATGAGGAAGCCGAGGTAGAAAGTTAAGGAAGCGAGGCATGTGAGCACCCAGGAGTTAGGGCAGGCCTGTGTTCAAACGTGGCTTCCTGCCCACAGCCCCGCCCTGTGCGGCCAGTGTCACACCTCACACCTGCAGCTCCAGCTCCCTGGTCCCGAGGCCTGAGTCTCCCTTCTTCACACATCAGGCTGTGCTCTGAGTGACTCTCCTGTGGGCCTGGCCGCCTATATCCTAGAGAAGTTTTCCACCTGGACCAATACGGAATTCCGATACCTGGAGGATGGAGGCCTGGAAAGGTGAGACCCTGGTCCCAGCAGCCACCCTCAGCCTCCTCACCCTCTTCATCCCCATATCTGGTTGCTTTGCATGGGGCACTCAGCAAATTGTTTCTATTGTTGGCTTTCTTACAAATCCTTACCCTGTGACTAAGGTACCTGCATTTTTTGGGTGAGGAGGCCTGGTGAGTTGCTCCCAGCCTCACAGTGGGTGATCAGGACTAGGTGCAGGCTCACCTGCTTGTGCTGCTTTTGCTGACCAGGCCCCTTCGGGGATTAGGGAGCCCAGAGGGCAGCAGGTACCACGTTATTGGCAAGAGCATCTGGGCTTTTCCTCCTGACTCCCTGGAGAGCCTGGCATCGGGGCCACATGACTGCATGTTCCAGGAGGTGGTCACAGAAAGACAGGGGAGGCTGTCACATCTCCCAGAGCCTTAGAGGCTATATCCTCAACATGCCCGACTCCATGTCAGCTCTGTGGCCTGACTCAGCCTTCACCAAGGTCAGCTCTGACCCACCCTTTCCAGGGCCCATCCCTTTATTCCTTCAGTGATACAGAGAGTGCTGGGGATGGGAAAGAGAGAGCAAAATGAGACTGAATCCCACCTTGGGGGTACGGATCCTGTCTTGACCATGCTGTAGCCCCATCACCTACAACAGTACCAGGTGATAGTGGGTGCCCAGTAAATAGACGTTGAATGAGCTTGGAAGATACATGCAAAGGACTGGGAGTCCAGTGGAAGGAGGATTCTCTTTGTCTAAGTGGCAGAGACAGGAAATGACCGGGAGAATGTATCTGATTTGGGCCTTGGAGGATGAGTAGGAGTTTGCTGGATGGAGGAGGGAAATTTAGGCAAAGAGAAAAGCAATAAAAATGCAAGGAAATGGTGCTTGGAAAGGGTGACTTGTTGAGAGGTTGAAGCAGGTACACTGGGGCCAGACCGCAAGCAAACTCATTCCTGCAGGCAGGTCCTCACCTCCTCAAGGAGGCTCAGCAGGTCCTTTCTCTGGGATCTGTTTCCCCTACCCTACATTCAGCAGGACCCAGGAGTTGATGGAGCTCCTGCAGGACCACCTTGGCAAGGGGTGTGGCCTGCTCCTGGAGCCGAATATGAGGCCTCACCAGACTATCCTGCTGGGCCACTCCTGCAGCTCTGGCTCCAGGTTACAGGGAGCACCAAAGCCCTGAACAGAGGGGGACAGGATATGATCCATGTTCCAGAAAGAACAGGCACACGCTAGGGTGGAAATGGCGGTTGTAGTTTTCAAGCTGCGGGCACAGCTGAAAGGGAGATGGAAGCACTTGGCCGACTTGCAGAAAGCCAGGTCACAGAGTTTACGTGTGTACTGTAACGAGCTTTCATTGACCAGTTTTTATTTTGCCACCAACATGGCGTTGAAAAGGCTGTTCCCTTAATCTCTGTCCCTGCTCGATATGGCTCTTGCTAGAGACCAAGGTTTTAGAGAGGAAGTGGGGTTGGGAACGCCTGCTTTGGGAAGAGTGGAAGATGGGCTGTGGAGTGTGCATCCTGGACTCAGGCTGCCTAGGTTTGGATTCTCCACTTAATAAGTAAAATGGAGATAGTAGTACCTATGTCCCACAGGCTGCTCCGAGGAAAACAGGAATTAAATGAAGGTAAGGAGCTTAGAAGATGCTACCTGGTATGGGGTCACCCTATAGCTGGTGCCCTGAGCAGTTTCACGGTGCAGGGTTGAGGGGAGGGTAGGAGAGGTCAGCGGCAGGAGAGAGGGGACGGATGTGTAGAGGCGAGGCAGGTGGGGGAGGGCCTTGGGGTGACAAGAGACACTTGAGCTAAATGCATGCTCTCCAGTCTGATGCCAAGGGTGCAGCCTGCCTGTGACAAGGGGATACCACACACCTTGCATGAGGTCTGAGGAGGGAAGCCGTGTGGGCAGGGCCTGGCATGTACAGGACTTTCTGGCTGCCCTTTGTCACACAACTGCATCTGTCACTGAGAGTGGGGCCTTGTGTTCCCAGGAAGTTCTCCCTGGACGACTTGCTGACCAACGTCATGCTCTACTGGACAACAGGAACCATCGTCTCCTCCCAGCGCTTCTACAAGGAGAACCTGGGACAGGGCTGGATGACCCAGAAGCATGAGCGGTGAGCCTGGCTGAGCTGAGAGCAGGGGACTGAGGCTGGGGGCAGGTGGCAGCCGGTCTTGAACTCCAGGAAGGGCATTTGGTGATGGGATAAGTATAACCCTGCCTGCAAGTGCCCCAGGGGCCCTTGGATAAGAATACTAAAGGTGGGGTGTTTGGAGAAAACCTTCGGGGAAGGATCACATGCCTGGCTCCCGGGTGGCCTAGTGCCTCCCCCCAGTCCAGGATGCTGGTCTGGTGTGGCACTGATGGTTCTGGGATTTCTGAGTCTCACATGGAGGCCCTCAAAGGTGGGGAGTTAGAGGCTGTCCCATGTCCTTGCCTGTGTGGCCCTCCCAGAAGAGAGAGGGCCCTTAATGAGGGGAGGGTGGTTGAGACCCTGAATCTGTCCTTTTCTCTATGGCTCCTTGTGGGTGGCAGGTTGATCTTGCCCCTCAGGCCCTTGAACCCCCTGCTGTGCAGGAAGCGGGGAATTGGGGGAAGGCGCAGGGCCACAGCCTCAGCCTTCCATGGGATCCCTGTGGCTTCCAGGATGAAGGTCTACGTGCCCACTGGCTTCTCTGCCTTCCCTTCTGAGTTAATCCACACGCCTGAAAAGTGGGTAAGGCTCAAGTACCCGAAGCTCATCTCCTATTCCTACATGGCTCGTGGGGGCCACTTTGCAGCCTTTGAGGAGCCAGACCTGCTCGCCCAGGACATCCGCAAGTTTCTGTCAGTGCTAGAGCGGCAGTGACCTCCTCCCCCCACAACCCCCAAGTACCCTCCAGGCTTTTCTTGGGGAAGATACTCCTTTTCTGAGGAATGAGTCTGCCTCCATCCCCTGCCTGTGCTGGGAGCCCACGCTCACCCCCTCACCCCTCCAAACTCACTCCCCAACCCCCCACCCCATATGGTAAGCAACATGGCCTTCCTTGATAATAAATGACTTTATTTCTAACAGCAGCTGGAACCCAGTGATATGAGTATACCCCGACCCCACAGGGGGCCCGTTGTCCAAGCAGAGCTGGCAGGTCCCTCCTTTCTGGCCAAGGCACGGGAGGCTGGCTGGGGATGAGGCCGCTGGCCAGGACTATGCTGCACCCGACCCATGGCAAATGCCCCACCCCTTCCAGCGCCAGGGTGGCTGGAGCAGAGGCAGCACTGGCCGCACCACGGGGGCAAATCAGCGCCAAGAGGGTCCCCGAGTGAGAAGGCCCAGGCCCACAAGACCAGCAGACAGGTTCAGGCAGGGCCTGCAGAGGCACCAAGGCCCTGGTCCAGTTGGGCTGCAGGGAGGCTGAACCTGCTCTTCCGCACCCCCTCCGGCCCCCACAGCAAAGGCTTGCGCCTTAGTGCCCCCTGGAGGCAGCAGGGAGGAGGCTTCTCAGGCAGAAGTTCAGTTATATCCCATCCCCAGGGATCCCCAGGAGATAGAAGAGGGACAGCCCCTTCTTCCTGCCAGAGCCGCAGCTCAAGGGCAGTGGGATGGCCTTGCACCCAGCCCAGGCACCCCCTCCTGTGTGCCAACCATGCTGTCCTTGGAGGGGGGTGGTGAGTGCTGCACAGAGCCCCCAAGAGGTGGGAGAGGCTGGATCTTAACCATGGTCTAATGGGCACTTTATGCGTGGTCCTTGTCCCTGCCTGTGGGGTGACCCTGACCCGGCCAGAGTGTCCCCGACAATGCGATACAAAAACAAACACAGAACCCTAGCAGGATGTAGAGGTGTGTGCACAGCTGCAGGAACACTGGCTGCCTCCCAGCCTGCTCCCCACAGCTCACTACCCTTCCAAATCCGAGGCACACAGGGTCTGGGTGCAGCCTGGAGGGGCTGCCTGGCTGGGGAGGGACTAGCCGTGGAGTGGGGAGCTGGACGCCCAGCCAGACCTCAGACTGGACTGCAGCATCTCTTTGGTTATCAGTTATGCGTGTGCCTACAGAGGGGTGGGCAGTGTGTGTGCTCAGAAGGAAGGAGGCCTTCCCCTGGTTACATCTCTCTCCATATATTCTCCTGGACTCATCAGTCTGGGGAGCAAAAGTCCACCACGTGGTTTCGGCGATAAACTACTGGGGATGTCCCCCCACCTGCAGAACTGGAAGCTTGTGCCGGGGGGTAACTGGGGTGAGCAAGGGAGGGGAGAGGCCTGCAAGCACTCCCCTCACCATGGCTGGGACTAGAAAAGATCGGCACCCAATGGCTCAGCTGGGCAGTCCCAACACGTTCCCACTCAGCCAAGGGCCTGAGCCCCAGGCCATTCTGGATGAACCTTTTCAGAGCAGAGGGACCTAAAACAGACGGGAAGAAGTCATGAACTTGGGAGTCAGGCTGCTTTACCTGTCTCCTCACCCCACAGGCTCCCCTGAGCCTGGCCCAGCTGGCAGCTCACCTGGCCTCAGGCCTCCTGGGGGGTAGCAGCCACATTGTCCACGGAGCTCTGGGCCGAGCACTGCCCCAGGAGAGTTCCGCTGATGTTGTGGATGGCACCATAGGTCTGCTGCTGCTGCGGGGACAGCGCTGTCCTCTCCGAGGCCAAGCCGTTCAGAATCCGAGGCACGTAGGGCTGTCAGCAAATGGATTTGTGCTTGGATTGGGGCAGGCATGAGATTCCACCCTGGATCCCTCCCCTCCTGCCCTTCTCCCAACAGGAGGACACAGACAGTGGCCATAAAGGACATACAAAGAAACAGCAACATCAATTTAGGACATTAGGACCCAAAATATGCCACCTGCAGAATTTCCTAGCAGCCAGGGCAAAAGAGAAAGCACAACTACACAGTTCTCATGATCACAGAAGGAAGCACAGGAGGGCAGTTTCTCAGAAGAAACAAAACATAGCCCTGGATTCTAGGAGGATTTCTCTTTATAGAACAAGTCTACCTATACAGGTGGGCTTCAAGTGCTGCCCTGGGACCCCCAGGATGCTCAACGAATCTGTCTTGAGTTTCATTTCCTCCCAATTCCAGGCTCCAGCCACTGACCCAGGGTACAGAGCCCTGCTCCACTCCTCCCAAGGCCCTGGCTGAGGGCTTGACATTGTCCACCTGTCCTGCGTGTTCCCTGCCTGGCCAGCACAGCCACAGGTGTCTCTCGGTAATGAGTCTTTTTGAGGCCCTCCCTCTTTTGGGGCTTGTCCAAGGACAGACACCGATAAGAGAGCCTGACACCTGGGAGGCAGCCACCAGAAAGAATCCTGCAGATGAGATCGGCTCTGCCCTGGCCCCGGCTGTCAGGAAGGCCAGTGGTCACAGCTCTGGAACCCTGGGGCTCTGCTTTCCCTTCCCAGCCCCAGCCTAGGAGCAGGACCCTGGAGGCCATGTGCAGGGAGAACCAGGGAGGGAAGGAGCCCTGTGTCTTTCTTCCATTGGGGTCTTCCTCTGAAGCAGGCACAGTGTTCATTTCTTGAATTCAGAGGAAGTCTGTCTGACACCCTCTTGGAGCCTAGTGGAGGAACTCACACAGGCAGGTTCGTCACTGACGATAAAGCGAACCTAGCACCCATCCAACGCTAGCACCTTACAGTGTGCCTTCACTGACGCCCCAACTCACCAGGTATTATATATGCAGAGGAAAGAGAGCAGGAAACTGAAACCAAGGGGGATGGGCACAAATCCAGACAAGACTCATTATCTCAACAGTTTCAAATATGCAGGTTAAAACACCCAGAGGGACTGGGATTCCTTCTCTGCCATTAATTCACAAATTTGGCTGCCATGTGATCTTAGCAAGAGATGATCAAAGCACATTTGCCAAGGCCCATCTGGCCGAGACTGTTACAACCAGACCGAAAAAGGGTGACAATCTCATGGGGTGAAGGGCACAGACGGCTTACTGTGAACGGTGGGGGCACATGAGCCTCTGCCTCACTTCCTTTGTCGCTTGTGGGCTCTTCTGTCTGCAGAAAACAGCAAAAACTTGCAATGATAAACAAAACTGATCCCTATGAACGAACACCCTCCAAACACACAGACTATTAACACCCAGAATAATAGTACCAGCTGGCACCAAGCTCCCCGGCAGCCCGAGAGAGGATGGGGTGGGGGAGTGCAGGGATGAGGGGAGGAAGGGAAGCTACACATGGCACCCAACCACCCACGCCTTTCCCACGGAGAAGGCTGCTGCTGTGTTGAGGGTGGGAGGGGTGAGAGTGAGCCCACCCCACCACCTCCTCCCAGGGCCTTGCCGGGCAGTGGGGACGGGCCTTTACTTTGTAGTTCAGAGGACTGAGGTGCTTGAAGCATCCAAAGCAGGTGTGAGCCAGGCAGACCAGGATGGTGAGCAGCACCACCAGGAAGGTGAACAGAGTGGCGGGGGCCTTCAGACCTGGGGACAGAGGGTGGCCGGCCTTGGGGCTGGGTGGGGAGGGGCTGCCACCTACCTTCACCCGGCTGAGGAAGGGCCACACCTGGTGCTGAAACTGCCCGTGACTTCTCCCTCAGGCAGAAAATCAAGGCAAAGCCTAACCCCCCGCCCCACCCCTCAACTCCAGCAGCAAGGATGGTGTCTTCACAGCCAGGAGCACAGAGGGACCCACTGAATGGCTGGCATCATCCCTGGTCAGATTTCAGGTACTGGGACGCCAAGTCAATGGCAATTCGCCAGCCTTTTTGCTTGGGTCCATTCCCTCCAGTCTCCCGGCCCTGGGCTAGGTAGGATGGACACTCCCACATCCCCAGTCTGACCGGGTCAGACATGTCTTTTCCCAGGAGTGCCAGTTTTCCCTCCTCCATGTCCCCACCACTTCCATGCCAGGAGGTACAGGGAGCTGGGCCCATCCACCACCCACAAAGGGCAATGTGGATTAGCTTCCCCATCTCCTCTGGGTCAGTCCCTGCACAGCTGATAAAGGCAGTCTTCTCTCTAGGGATGCATGGGACAATCGACCAGGCCTTCACAAGGGTTACACCTGCACTTGGGCTACCTTAGGAGCTAGGCTGTCAACACCACACCCAACCAGCCCTGACCCCCAGTATCATGTTTTGATTGGACGCCTAACTAGCCCTTACTCTGGGCACCACATTCTGACTAGATGCCAAGCTGATGCTATGAAAACTGACTGGCTGCTGTGGATGCAGGGATGGGAGGCCAAAGGCTGGCCCCAGGTTGGAAGGGCTGCTCACCCAGACGCAGGAAGGAAAAGAAGTAGAGCCAGAAGAGGCACAGGATGGGGGCTGCCAAGGCCTGATTCACAGCAGCAAAGTGGATCTCCTTCTCCAGCTTGGCTGGGAGGTAGACGAAGTAGAGATTATGCCGGTCCACCATGTGCTTGAGCAGGATGTAGATCAGGCCTGCAGGGCATGGGGCTGTTAGCTGGAAACCTCACGGGGTCACAGGGGTGCCTCTGCCCTCTTCCTTTTAGGGGCTGGGGCTGCTGCTCTACTGCTTGAACACAAAATGAGGCATCCTGCACCTCTGGCTGCTAGTTTTTTCTCTCTCCTACCTGCTTCCTCATGTGATTCCAAGGGCGTTGCGGTGTCTGTGATCCTGTCCCCAAGGAACACTAACATTCCAGGATCGTCTTGGAAAGAGGCTGTTTCATACTTGGATGCCTGGCCTCAGTTTCTCCACAGCCCTTCCCATGCTGAGACCCCAAGTATGTCAGTGCTCCGACACCCCGCCCTCATCAGTCAACAGAGAATGAAGCCCAAGGGTCTTACCCCAGTGGTGGCACAGGAGCGCACAGCAGGAACCACCAGAAGGTGGGTGCTGCCTTTTCTATTATGCCAGTTTTTTGTTGTTTTTGAGACAGAGTTTCATTTTTGTTGCCTAGGCTGGAGTACAGTGGTGGAATCTTGGCTCACTGCACCCTCCACCTCCTGGATTCAAGCGATTCTCCTGCCTCAGCCTCCCAAGTAGCTGGGATTACAGGCATCCATCACCAGGCCTGGCTAATTTTTTGTATTTTTAGTAGAAAGAGGGTTTCACCATGTTGGCCAAACTCCTGACCTCAGGTGATCCACCTGCCTTGTCCTCCCGAAGTGCTGGGATTATAGGGGTGAGCTACTGCGCCCAGGCCCAGGTTCTTTTTGGAAAAATTAATTTTGTTTTGAAAGTGTTAATACTGTAGATTTTTAAAACGACACAAGAGCATATACAGAGAAAACTAAAACAACTTCTCCCCCTCGTCCTCAGCTATTACTGCCAACAGTCTCTTGGGTTTTCTCTTTTCTTCTAGTCTTTCATTCATCTGCCAGTTCCAGATGGTTTATTTCAGTGGCCAGGACCTTGGCCTTTAAAGTCAAATAGTCCTGAGTTCAAATTCTGGTTCTCCTGCTTACTAATAACATATGAAGTTCTTCATCTGTGGAGGAGGAATAGAAACAAGACCTGCCCTGTAGGATGAGGTGAGAATTAAATGTGGTAACCCACGTGGAGGCAACCATCTGCCAGAGTGAAAGCAGCACAAGAGCTGTGACTGTGACTATGGCACTGTCTTACTTGCTGCTAAAGAAATCGACCATGAACGACGTGGTCAGCGGGCAGAGAACCTCCGACCAGAAGTACTGAGAGAGGTCCTAGCTGGAGCCAGTGGGAGGAATTCATTTAAAAATGAATGAGGCTGGGCGCTGTGGCTCATGCCTGTAATCCCAGCACTTTGGGAGGCCGAGGCAAGCAGATCACCTGAGGTCAGGAGTTTGAGACCAGCCAGGCCAGCATGGTGAAACTCTGTCTCTACTAAAAATACAAAAAATTAGCCAGGCATGATGGTGGGCACCTGTAATCCCAGCTACTCAGGAGGCTGAGGTGGGAGGTTGGCTTGAGCCTGGGAGGTGGGGGTTGCAGCGAGCCAAGATCATGCCACTGTACTCCAGCCTGGGTGTCAGCATGAGGCCCTGTCTCAAAACAGACAAAGAAAGAAATGAATGAAATTTGGTGTCACTGGATCTTGGGCAGCTTGTGGTTCTTGTGACTATGGTTTTGGGAACATCATAACACCCTGGTGATAGCTGTCTCTGAGAGGCTTGCTGCAATCAGCCGTCCACGTACCCTGGGACAGGCTCCAGGGCCACTCACCAAATGGCGCAATGATGGGACAGGTGATGCTGTAGGCCATGATGACAGTGAAGACACACAGCATCCATGCATACATGGCTCCAAACTCGTACTGGAAGGCCTGGTTCTGGGAGGAGGTGGTGGTGAGCAGCTCGTGGGCTTGTTCCACCTCAAACACCCTTTTGTGCTCTCCAAGTGGTGAGGGGAGAGCAGGGTGGAGGAGGGCTTTGGAAATAGATGCGTGGCTCCCCACCTCCCGAGGTCCTTCGTATCCCTCCCAGCCGCCCCACTTCACTCGGCGCACCCAGCCTTCCTGAGGCATAGTGATGCGTGTTTGCTAGTGCTCCCTTTGTTCCGATCCTGTCCACCCAACAGGCGTTTGCACCCCTGGAGCGAAGAGGTGGTTGGAGGATGAACTGTAAGTGAGTCCACGAGATTCCAGCCCTTCTAGGACGGGATCTGGGCCAGCTTAGCTCATGCCTCTTTGAGACAGGGATACTAGCAGTGCCCAGCTCCTAAGGGACTAAGGATGAAATGAGGGAATGCAACACTTCTCCCACTTTCCTCGCACAGTGCCCACCGTGGCAGAGAAGAAAAGAGAATCCCACACCCTCCAATTTAGGGAATCCTGGAATAAATGCCACAAGCCAAAAATGCCTTTGACATCTGGGGTACGACTAAGAATTTACGCAAATGGGTGCGCAGGGAAAAGGAGTCTGTTGGTTTGAGTTGTTTGTATGTGTGCGGTCAAACTGTTTCAAATGCCAGAGTCCCAGGCTCTCTCCTCTAGCCTGTGAGCTAGAGCAGAGGCTGGAGGCCGTGCCTGCGTGGGCCTGGGTTTGAGAAGCACTTAGCCCAGTGCCCACCCTAGTGGGTGGCTGGGTAAATGCTATCACTAGTGGGGGTAGTGGGGATGAGAGGACCTCAGGTCAGGAAAGGGGGACAGGGTAGGGAGTCAGAGGCACAGCCCTGGGCCCAGGGGAAGGCACCTGCTTGACGTTCCTGCGGTCGGCAGCCGTCTTAGCCATGATCATGCGGAAGGTGTAGAGGATGAGGCCCGGCAGCCGCAGCAGCTCCATGCCGTTACCGATGAAGGCTGAGGCGATGACATAGTTCACAAAGAAGGCGCCCTGGTCCGGCAGGAAGACGCACCTGGGGGAACCCGGGCCCAGGTCGGTGAGCTGAGAGCCGCTCTTGGAGGGAGAGTAGGGGCCCCTAGGCTGGGCAGGAGCAGAAAGCCCCTGGGAGGGCTGTCAACTCTTTCCTTCACTCAGCACATATTTGGGAACACATCTGTGTGCCAAGCACCCTTCTAGGCCTTGAGAACAGAACAGTGCCCCAGCCCCACCCACTCCCTTGAAGTTCACATTCTAGCTGGGGGCACAAACAAGCAAACACACACATATTCCATATGCCAGGGTGGCGAGTGCTGCAGAGGAGATAAAGCAGAGAGGGTTTCTACGTTATACAGGGGTCGGAGGAGCCTTTCTTACTAGGTGATATTTGTGCAGAGATGTGAAGGAAGTGAGGAAACAAGTCATCCCAAACCTGGGAAGACAGGATTCCAGGAAAAGGGAATAACATGTCAATATAAGTCGCCTGAAGAGGCTGAGGCTCAGTGGCACATCCAGTAAGAACAAAAGGGCAGGTGGGGCAGAACAGCAGGGGGCTGGGGGAGGCAGGAGACAAGGCTGAAAGGGGCTGAGGGCGGGCTCAGGGCAATGACACAGATAGTTGCTGTGTCATCCCCATGCAGGATGAGGGTGGTTGTGATGGAGGTGGTGAGATTCTCGATCTACTTGAGAGAGAGAGCGGTCAGGATTTGCTGATAGGCTGGGTGTGGCATGGCAGGGATAGAAAGAAAATGAGGTGAACCTCAAGGGTTTTGCCAAAACAATTGGAAAAACATCATGGAATGGGGAAAGTTGTAGAGCAGCAGATTTGGGAGTAAAAGTCAGGAGTCTGGTTTTGGCAGGTAACATCTGTGGGACCCAGGCAAACTCCAAGTGGAGTTTCAGGTGGGCAGCTGGGTTATTAGCCTGGAGGTATAGGCTAGAGACATAAATGTGGATGTTGTCCATAACAGTTAATTCAGGAGCAGTCTCAAGGCACGGAAGCTGTGGGTTCAGCTGTGGTCACCTAGAGAGGCAGTGTGGACCCAGAACTGGGGGCTGAGCCTTCAGGCAGCCAAAATCTAGAGTACCCACCAAGGAGGCTGAGAAGAAGATGCCACAGGATGAGAGAGCCAAGGCAGAGCTTCGAGGAGGAAGGCTGGGAAAAATGTGTCAGATGTGGCTGACAGACCACAGAAGATGAGGACTGAGGTGGTCACTAGATTTGTCTATCTGAAAGTCACTGTCAACCTAGACAATTGCTGGCTGTATGTACGTGTGTCTATCACAGCTGCCAGCTCCCAACTCATCAGCTTACTCAGCAAGAACTCATTTAAAACAATTCACCCCATCCTTACAGGTAAGCACATTCTTTTAGGAAAGTCAAGCCAAGCTTTGGGCCTATATTAAGACCTAACATATAGTCTGTAGGGGCTGGGGTTGAATCCCAGCTCTGTTCCTTAACTGGCTGGGTAAACTTGGGCAAGTTATTCAACAGCTCCAAACCTCAGTCTCCTCATCTGTAAAATGGAGAGAATACTAGTATCTTCCTCATGGCTCGTTGTAAAGATTCAGTGTCAAAAAGATGCATAAAGCAGTTGGCATACTTCCTTCTTAAACAATAGCTATTACTTTTTTTTTTTTTTTGAGACGGAGTTTTGCTCTTGTTACCCAGGCTGGAGTGCAATGGCGCGATCTCGGCTCACTGCAACCTCCACCTCTGCTGGGTTCAGGCAATTCTCCTGCCTCAGCCTCCCGAGTAGCTGGGATTACAGGCACATGCCACCATGCCCAGCTAATTTTTTGTATTTTTAGTAGAGACGGGGTTTCACCATGTTGACCAGGATGGTCTCGATCTCTTGACCTAGTGATCCACCCGCCTCGGCCTCCCAAAGTGCTGGGATTACAGGCTTGAGCCACCACGCCCGGCCAACAATAGCTATTACTGTTAAGTGGGCGTGGTACAAGTTTAAAATATTAACAAGAATACATCAGCAATAAGTTTAATTCTACTGTGGCAAAAATAATCCCCAGAGCCCAGAGGCATCCTGGTTGCCGTGTGTAATTATTATTCTCCTTTCCCCGCTCTCTGGCACCACTGAGACCCAGGAAGTCCTTCTCCCCATGTGACTGTGTGCTCAGTAAGTTTCAAAGAATGAATGAGACAACTGCTAATTGAGTTCTGGCCTAAAATATTAACCACATTTCTGCAAGTATAGCACAAAGTGGGTCAGCTCCCACAGTGTCTACCAGGAACCTGGCAGGGTGGTGGTGAGGCCCCGAGCGCTGCTGTCTGGGGGAGGCACAGGCCTGTTCGGAAGCATAGACTATGACTGCCCCTCCTGTCCCACTGCAGCCCCAGCCCCTGTGGGACTTTCACCCAGGGCCATGGCTCCAGAACTCAACTTGGCAATACTCACTCCAACCTGATGGAGGCCTCCGAGGAAGTTTTGTCAAACAGCCACCGGAAGAAAAAATCTAGACTGAAAAACAAAGAAATCCCCTAAGAGTTTATTTCCAGCCTTCCATGTTGTCACTACACAGGCTTTCATTTTCTTTTGCTCTAAACACAGGCCAAAACTTGAGATCGACTTTTGTTCTCAGTGACTCCAGTTACTGCGGCATGACCTGTCACGGTCTAACAGAAACTTCCTTCCTTGTGATAAACAAAGCCATGATGAGACCCTCTCTTGATGGAAGGTCCTTGATAAGTTTCTTTTTTTTTTTCTGAGACGAAGTTTTGCTCTTGTTACCCAGGCTGGAATGCAATGGCACGATCTCGGCTCACCGAAACCTCCACCTCCTGGGTTCAAGCAATTCTCCTGCCTCAGCCTCCCGAGTAGCTGGGATTACAGGTATGCCACCACGCCCAGCTAATTTTTGTATTTTTAGTAGAGACGGGGTTTCACCTTGTTGACCAGGATGTTCTTGATCTCTTGACCTCGTGATCCACCTGCCTCGGCCTCCCAAAGTGCTGGGATTATAGGCGTGAGCCACCGCGCCTGGCCGATAAGTTTCATTTTCTTTTCTTTCTTTTTTTTTTTATTTTGTAGAGATGGGGTTTTACCATATTGCCCAGGCTGGGACTCCTGGGCTCAAGCAATCTGCCCACCTCTGCCTCCCAAAATGCAAGGATTACAGGCATAAGCCACCGTGTCTAGCCACGAAATTTCCAAGCTTTTTCTTTTTCTTTCCTTTTTTCTTTTTCTTGTTTTGACACAGTCTCATGCCTGTAATCCCAGCACTTGAGAGGCTGAAGTGGGTGGATCACCTGAGGTCAGGAGTTCAAGACCAGCCTGACCAATATGGTGTTTTCTTTTTTAAAGAATAATCATATTGCCAGAAGAATCAGTGACCAGCCCACTGCATGCCAAGTGGCTGCGACAGGCTTAGATATTGTTAGAGGTTTGCTTCTGCTACCAAACCATTTTCATTTTCCTAGGGACAGTGCTCTCCTGATATGACTGAGTCTGAATTTAGAGGAGGTAGTGGCATATACCTGGTGAGACCCAGGGAGGGCAGGATCAGCACCATGAAGATCAAGAATATGTAGACTTTGGTCATCATGATCTGGTTTTCCCCCGACCTGCAGGAAGTCAAAGGTGAGCACTTGCAGTCCCCAAATGCTCCAGGTACCCCCAGTGAGGCCTCTGCCATGTGCCCATTGCCTGAGAAGCTGGGGGAAGGGTGTGGACAAGGGAGCGATCAGAGACATTCTTCTTAGGGGCAGGGCCTCCGGGCTCCGGGGCACTCACTTGGTCCAGTGGGACTCCAGTAGTGTAGAGTAGTAGACAATGGAGGGGAGCAGGGCCGAGAAGGACCAGAGCAGGAGGGTGGGGAAGAACTGGCTGATGATCGGGTCCTAGGAGAAAGGTCCACGGCAGAGAGAGTCAGAGAGCGCCGTGGCCCACATGGCTCTGAGGCCATGACCTATTAACATGGTCACTCAGGGGACTCCCAGGGTAGAAGTCTGTCACATCTGACCCCCAGAACCGACACTGTGCCAGGAACAGAGTTGGTACCATAAATGTTGACTGAATAATCAGTAACAGCACCTTATATTTGTAAAGCTCCTCACAGCACAGCAAAGAAAGCAATTTCACATACAACTAAACTCCACTTATCTGACTAACCAGATTAAATAACCTTCTCTGTTTCCTATACAAAACCAATGACTGATCCCATGGGAAGACTGAACACTGAAGGCCTGGAGTCCTGGCCGGGGGTGGAGGGGGCGCTTCGCCTGCCTGCCTGCCTGCTCAGCTCCCATTGGTCCAGCTGCCCCATATCAGGGCTCCACTGTGTGTGTCCACAAGTCTGCTTTTGTTACTGTGATTACATGATCTGATTGACTTAATACTTTCACTGATTAGATGAACATAAAAATAGAGAGAAATTTTCTTTGAAAACTAAGTTGGATACTTTGGCAGACTTGATAAAAGTCAATTTCTAAAAAAAGATGCTGTTAATTAGATAAGAGTAAATTAAGGATAAAAGATCAAGGGATATAAGATCTAGGAAGTTTCTATATTCAGAATGGCTCTGCAAGTATCTAAATTCTTCCTTTGCTTTAAAGAAGCCAACACTGGAACCACGAAACAATGAAATAAGGGTGTGGTTTATGTAAAATGGACAAAGGGGAGCTCTCATCAGCAGATTCATCCTGAAAAGAATAGGCCAGTCCCTCTGTTAAAAGATTGGCAAAGGAATGCATATTTATAATACCTGCTTTAAATCTTAAACAAAACTGAATTTATACTTAGGTAGCTTAAAACTGTCTATGGAGTCGAGTCAGGTAAGAGCTTCAACCACACATCAGTTCATTGATTATCATGACAACCTCATGCGCTGTATAATACAGCGTTTTAACTTCAGTTCTTGGATGAAAAACTGAGGCTCAGAATTCATCAGATAGGGAATGGCAAAGTGAGGGCAAGGAGGCCCTCCTGCCCAGTGTGCTTTCCCAGAGAATGATTAACCACATGCAAAGTGAAATTTAAAAAGACAAGACATTTAGGGAGATGGTTCGGCAAAGCTGCTTTTGAGAACCCAGTATCTTTTTGAGTAGATGCCAGTTGAGGGAGCGTTTAACTGTTATCTCATTGTTTCATCTAAGATTTTTGAAAATAATTTATAACCTATGCAGAATAAATAGTTTTATAACAAGGTCATTAGCAACTAAAATGTAAAGGAAATAATTTGTGTTCCTGCCACCCTAATCAGTGAAGCTCTTTTCATTCCTTCCTGTCCCCTCCCGGTAGTGTCCATGATAGAGATGCCCCACTGGCACATCCCTGCTTCTTCAGGAGCCCTGCATGGGAGCCACAAAGTCTGCACAATTTTTAACGGATGCTTAACATTCCACCAACCTGAATATACCTCATTTAACTCAAATATCTCCACCATTGTTTAAAGTCTATTAAAATATGTATGCATGTGTGTGTATCTGTGTGTGTGTGTGTGTGCGCGCGCACGCGCGCGTATATGGCATTACAATATAGACATTGTAATAAATGTGCCCATGCCCGCTTAGAGGTTAAAAGGAAGGATGTGAACTCAGCAACTTGACCCCGTGGTTCCCTGCACACATCCCACTCCTGTCCCCGCTTCCTTCCCCACCCACCAAGCCCTCTTCTCACCAGCCCTCCTTGGAGGGGCCTTGCAGAACAGTTACTCACATTCAGCGCATGGATGGGTTTGGTGACATTGAACTTGTCCATGGTGGACAGGATGATGGAGGGTGTGGTCAGGAAAAACAGCCCCAGGAAGAGGGTGAAGTTGATGCCCAGCCACTGTAGCCACCAGCGGAGGCCCTGGATAGAGAGGTTCTTCCTGCAAGGGGAGAGGGGACACGGGTCCTGAGGCTCATCTCCCAGTGCTCATGGCTTAGGTGGATCAGGTCAGATTTAGGTGGACCAAGAGACTAGCCTGGGGGCAAGTTCTCCGCACTGACCTTCAGCTACAGAAAGGCGAAATCTTAGGTCCCTGTGAGCTCAGAGGGAACAAAGGCTATTCTCTCAGATGTGGTTCACCAGCTAGAGTCTGGGGGCCAGAACATACCCAAAGAGACGGCACGGGCACCCAAGCAGACCAAATAAGGCTCCAGCATGGCACTTATTTTTTCTTTTGTGGAGACAGAGTCTGGCTAAGTCACCCAGGCTGGAGTGCGGTGGTGTGATCTCAGCTCACTGTAAACTCTGCCACCCAGGTTCAAGCAATTCTCCTGCCTCAGCCTCCCATGTAGCTGGGATTACAGGCAACAGGTACCATGTCCAGCTAATTTTTTTGCATTTTTAATAGAGACAGGGTTTTACCATGTTGCCCAGGGTGGTCTTGAACTCCTGAGCTCAGGCAAACAGCCTTGCTCAGCCTCTCAAAGTGCTAGGATTACTTTCGTGAGCTTGGAATTTCTTAGACACATCTGCAATGCTTTGTGACTAATAACACATTCTTCCCAAGGGGACTGTGGTGCAGGGAGGAGGAAGGCAGGGACAAAGGATCGAAGGCACAGCTGCAAGGAGCTGAGGCAGGGCGGGACAGGCAGCACACTGGGGCTTGTGCTAGGTGCCCTTACCCTCAACACAGTGCTGGAGGCTCACCATGGCCCCCGTGGACACAGCTCAGCTCACCAGCATGGCTCCAGGCTGACACTGGACCTAAATAAGTCTCTGCACAAGCCACATGCAGCAACTGAGCATTTGAAATGTGGCTAGTATGAATTGAGAGGTGCTAGAACTGTAAAATACACACCATATTTTGAAGACTAAGTGTGAAAAAGAGAATGTAAAACATGTCACATTTTTCAAAAATTGACTGCATGTTGAAATAACAGTTTGGATATATTGGGTGAGATAAATTATTAAAACTAATTCCAACTGTTTCTTTTTACTTTTTTAGCATGGCTAAGTAGGAAACTTAAAATTAAATGCAGAGGTGGCATTATATTTCTGCTGGACGGCACGTGAATGCCAGGGAAGAACCCTGGCAGGAAGTGCTGGGCGGACACCCCAGCTGGGCCACACTGAGCACATCATGGCATCACGGCCTGGAGAGTTGCAGATGTGTGATCTCCACTGACTGCCAGGTCACAGCTGTGCTCCAGGTGACGGGCAGCTCCCACCAGGAACCCAGGCCTCCCTTCCATGTGTCCCTGGTCTAGGAGCTCACCAGCAGATGTCCTCAGGATCAGCAGCGAAGGTGACTGTCCACTTGGAGGTACAGAGCTCTCTGCTATGGGAGGACGGCTGGGGCTCACCTTTGCACTGAAGGCTCTGACACTTGCAGGCGTTGAAATCTTTCAGGATGCTGCCAGGAAATGTAGAAACAGCCAGGCCCCGGCTACTCCGGTGACCACACAACATGTGGCAAGTGGGGACTGAGTAGGAGTGGGAGGCAGTGGCACAGGACCTTTGCTTTGCTGTCATTAGTGTATTATAAGTAATGCTATGTAAGAGGCGCCATGCTAGCACACTGTGTGGAGAATTTTGTTTAATCCTCGAACCACCCAGCAAGAAAGGGAGTACTGTTCCCATTTTACAGATAAGGAAACTGAGGGCAGCACACCCCAACACACTGCTCTTCCACAGGGCCATCCTCCTCTACTCTGCCTGTTAAGCTGGAGCTCTGATCCAATGCTACTGCCAGGCCAGTGGTTCACCTTTTCTTTCTGTCACTTCTTCCCCAGGCCCAAGGGTAGTGTTAGACCACGTTACACACTGCCTGTTCCCAAACTTCCCTCCTCAGGGCTCCCACCTTGACCCTCACCATCTCAGCAGATCACAGGCTTTCCTCCTTTAGCCTCCCATAAGGAGCCCAGCAGCCCCCCTTCTGCCTCAGATGCCTTCCCCTTTCCTCCTGCCCCAGTGTCTGCAGGAAGTCCTGAGTGAGTCCATCCTTAGGGTCACAATGCCGGGGGGCAGGTAGGGCAGGGGGAGGGGCAGTGGCTGGACCATCTCCTTTCTGCACCCCTCTCCCGACCCACCCCCTGCTGCTCCTAAGGCGAGATGACACACAGATCCCAGGCATGAGAGCCCAGAGCCCCATGCCAAGGGCCACTGTGAAAAGCCACTCCCCAGTCCAAGCTCTCCACTGCAGTGAGTGCCCCAGCATGCCCCAGGGGTCTTCCCCACAGCTTTGCATTTGTGGGAACCGGGGGAGCCACAGACAGAAAGATCTGTGGTCCAGGGCAGATGTCTGGAAGGAGGGTGTCTCCGTCTCCCCTGGGGGAAGGCTGGCACACAGAGCCCACAGGATGGGTCCAGGCCAGCAGGGAAGAGCCAGCAGTGAGGCCAGGCTGCATCAACTCGACAGGGTCAGCCAGAATCACCCACTCCAGGGCTGCTGCCCATATTCCCACCACCTGTCACACAAACATGGACTGGGCTTGCTGAAGTGAGTGTGGGTGGCTGAGGGAAGAGAAGGAAACACCACAGATAAATCCCAGGGATGGTGGGTGAGCAGTACCATCTCTACCCAAGAGGGACAGTGAGTTATCTGGAGGGGAACATGTAGTTAGCCAAGAAGGGGCCTGGGTTGTGCCCACACTCACTAGGTGGCCATGGACTTCTCCTGGAAGGTGACGAAGGCCATTCCCAGGGGCTGGTCCTGGACGTGGAGTTCTTCCTCTGTGATCCTCTCCAGCAGCCTGTCCTTCATCTGCATGTAGTAAGAGATTGCATCCTCCTGCCAGAAGATACATCCCATTGGGATGACATGGCGCCATCCAAGTGTCTGGAGCACCCCCATGCCAATGCCTGCGCTCCCAGCCGAGGAGCGGGACCCGTACCCACTCACAGCCCTGCACTTCACAGCAGCAGAACTGGCCACAGGGCTTGGGGTTGATGAGGGTCTGCCGGCCTGTCTTCACCTGCAGGTTCCTGTAATAGGTCAGGCTCTTCTCTGTCTTCTTTCTGCAGAGGTGGGAGCAGGGGCATACACTTCAGATTCATAATCCTGTGGCAGGGACCCCCACACCCACAGTTCAACCATCAGCCAAGGGAGAAGGAGGAGTCCATGGCCGCCCTCCTCCCTTCCTCGCTGGGAGATTCGAGGCCAGCAAGGAAGGAGTGGGCATCTCGCAGGCCCACCCACCACCCCCCCTCACCTCTCCTTGCACAGGTAGATTAACTTGGCCACATTGTAGCACAGCTGGACGTCCACCACCTCACACGTGGGATACGCGTCCCTGTGGCCAAGGAGAGAAGGAGGCAATAGACCCTGTTGAAAAGAGAACCCCAAGGAGGAGACAGGCCCAGGGATCCAAGGGAAAGGATGGCAGAGTGATCTCACTGGTGGTTTCTGTGCCAGCGGACATCTCTCTTCTCTTTGTCTTTTATCCTCCAAAAGGGGGAAATTTTGAAATTTATACAAAGAGGGCTTTTGTTTTATTTTGTTTAGAGACAGGGTCTCTGTCACCCAGGCTGCAGTGCAGTGGTACAATCATGGCTCACCACAGCCTCAACTTCTGGGCTCAAGCAATCCTCCCACCTCGGCCTCCTGGGTAACTGGGACTACAGGTGCATGCCACCAGGCTGATTTTTATTTTTTATAGAGACAGGGTCTTGCTATGTTGCCCAGGCCAATTTTGAACTCCTGGCCTCAAGTGCTCCTCCTGCCTCAGCCTCCCAAAGCGCTGGGATTATAGGCACGAGTCACTGCACCCAGCCAGCTTTAACAGTAGAAGCTAACTGCCTGGAACTGACAAGTTTATACCCACTTGGCTTGCAGTCAGCCGGCACTTCTCCTGGGGAAAAATGAACATATCACTATCCCCTCTAAAGAACCAAAGGAATAGATTTGTTATTTGTGCTAGGTCAGTATCTACCTTGAGCCACCACTGAAATCCTATTCAGGTAGGCTTTTTGAACGTCACAGACTTTTCAGAGGGTCTGATGAAAGCAAAGGACCCTCCAACCAGAAAATGTTTACACACATATTAACCAGCAAGGCCAGGCATGGTGGCTCACACAATTACAGATTGCAGCAATTTGAGAGGCTGAGGTGGGTGGATCACTTGAGGTCAGGAGTTCTAGACCAGCCTGACCAACATGGTGAAACCCCACCTCTACTAAAAATACAAAAATCAGTGAGGTGTGGTGGCGTCCACCTGTAATCTCAGCTACTCAGAGAGTGAAGCATGAGAATTGCTTGAACCTGGGAGGCGGAGGTTGCAGTGAGTGAGCTCACCCCACTGCACTCCAACCTGGGAAACAGAGTGGACTCTGTCTCAAAAAAACAAACAAACAAAAAAAAAAACCCCGGCAAAATACATCAATGTATTCAATCCTCATCATAACCTGTGAGTTTTGTCCCCATTTTACAGATGAGTAAACTGAGGCCCACAGAGGTAAAGTGGCGTGCACCAAAGATCACACAGCTAGCGAGTGTCTGAGCCAGGAGGTGAATACAGGCAACCCCGGCTGGTGGCCACGGTGCAACACCCCCTCACCATATGTGCAAAATTATACATACAATTCCAGAGGATTCAGAACCATGTGAATCCCTACCTACCACCTCCCAGACACTGTTCTAGGTGCTGGTAACAGGGCCTGGATGTGCTTACATTTTAGTGAGAGAGAGAGCCCATAGGCATGTCAATCATGAAATTAAACAGGAGGACAATTTCTGGTCCCAATAAGAGCTGTGAGGAAGAAAACTGCAATTTAAGCATCCCTGTTTGAAAGGCAAATTCATACATCAATCCCTACAACTGCAACAGTGTCACTAAAAGGCCTCCTAAAGTAGGGGAAAGCATGAGTCGTGTAATGTTTCTGAGAATGAGGGGACTCTTTTTCTCTTTAAAGTTATACATTCAGTGGAATTACTGTTACCAGATGTTGCCTAGCAGGCAACTTTAGGGAGTTGCTCCAAGGAAACAGAGAAAAATGATTCTGGTATCGAGTATTTACATATTAGTAAATATTTCTAAACTATTTAGAGTTTCTGAAGAAGTTGTTCAAATTTTAAACATTCAGTTTACGATTCTGTCTAGTAATTTGCTTAGCAAGTGCTTTCTTCATAAACAGTGCAAAGTTAAAGTATAGCCAACTCCTAGTTCATGCAACAAATTAGTGGCTGCCGAATTGATAAGGAATGAAGAGAGGCCACGCGTGGTGGCTCACGCCTGTAATCCCAACAATTTGGGAGGGCAAGGCAGGAGATTCACTTGAGCCCAGCAATTCAAGACCAGCCTGGGCAACAGAGCAAGACACTATCTCCACAAAAATTTTTAAAATTAACTGGATGTGGTGGCACGTGTCTGCAGTCCCAGCTACTTGAGAGGCTGAGGCAGGAAGATCCCTTGAGTCCAGGAGGTGAGGCTGCAGTGAGCTATGATCACACTACTGCACTCTAGCCCGGGCAATAGAGCAAAACCCTGTCTCTAAAAAAATATAATAGTAAAAAAAAAGGAATCAAGAAAGAATAAAATGTCAGCCCCTGAGCGCAGCCTTCAGGTCCTCCAGCAGGGTCCTGGGAGCCTCCCCGGCCTGCGTGCCCTGCCCCCACCCCATCACCTTTCCATTCCTGGCTGTACACACAATCTCCTCACAGGAAAGCCTTTCCTCCAGCCTCCACCTGCAGGAATTGGTGGCGCAGATACTCAACGGGGGCTGCTGGAAAGGAGGTTCTACCAGGGAGATCCTGGACTCAGACACGGTGCTCACTCAACAGACACCTGCTGAGTGGGTGGATGAACCAACAAACAGCAGAGATGACCCTGAGGTCCTTCCACCTGTGAGACCCTAGCCCTGTGGGTCCGTGCCAATGCTCAGCTCACGTCTCTCTTACTCTGCAAAGCTGATGCTAAGAACCCCGGGGTGAACAATCTTTTTTTCCCTGTATACTCTCAAGACGCTTATTTGTACCACCCTGGCCTGTGCTCTGGACACTGTGTACAAGGCTGCTTGAAAAGGACAGGCCACCACAGCGCCATCCATTGCACAGCACCTGCAGAACTGGCACACGGGAGCCACTCCATACATGTGTGGCAGGGCCAGGTCCTTCTCAGATCTCACCTGGATACCCAAGCGAGAGACAGAAGGCACTCACCTAAGGTGCTTGCCCCTTGGGGGCTGTGCTGGTCCTACCTGGAGGGGGCTCAGCTCCCCTCCCACCCCACCTGCTTACCGGAAGTGGCTCTCCACAGTCTCCTTCCTGGCATCTCTAGGGAGTCCTGTGATGAACAAGGTCCGCCTCACCTGTCAGGGAAACACAGCAGGGAGAGAAGTCACCGATGAGCTAGTGTGCAGATATGCTCAGGTTTCCAACCCACTCCAGCCTCTGCAAAGCAAACAATGGGAAATCAGAAGGCTCTGGTTTTCTCCTTCTGTGGCCTGGGGGAGCCCTGAAGCATGTCATTCACACAGCATCATCTTCCAGGCTATACAAATAATCCACTTCCAAAGCAACTCTATGAGCCTTCTTTGCATGGCAGGAGACTGAGAAAGAGGGGAAGTGACCCAAATGCGTTCACACAGCAGATCAGAGGAGGACCCAGGCCTGGAACCAAGCTACAGAAGCTCCCTTCGCCTGTGAAGCTTTGGGTGGCAAAGAGAAAGGGCTGCTCTTAACCCAGACTTCTTAGCACCAGTAACTGTCCAAATCTTGAAAGAATCTGTGAAATTTTTTTTTTCAAGATCATGCCAAGTGTGAGCAAGAATAAGCAAGCTGGGCTCCTGAGGCCATCCCAGAGCTCACTGCTGTCAGGGCCGGCCTGTCACAGAGCCCCAGCTCCCACCTGAGCCCCTCCCAGCATGTGTCCCCAAGCCCTGCCTCACTCACCAGGCTCTCCTCTTTGTACTTAATGGACTGAGTATGGTGTCGCATGAAGCCCACGGTGAGGAGGAGGTAAATGACAGCGAAGATGGTGTGCAGCCAAAGGAGGTCATTGCTGAGGGGGAAACCACCTGTCATCAGGGCTGGGATCCCAGGGAGGGAGCTGGGGGCGTAGAGCTGGGGCCTGGTTACCCTCAATGGGCACTGAGCTGAGGACCAATGGTTTCACTGCAAGAGATGCCTCCCAAGTGTGGCCTACGCCCCTCAGCCCATGGTGAATACTTCAGAGGGGTCCCTGTCTGTGTCCCTGTCCTGACAAATGAACTCCAATCCACAGAACTCTCCATGTTTCTTAAATCCCTGGCAAAACAGTGGCTGCCTGTGGCATGTTATGCCTACAGTTCAGCAACACACCAGCTGAAGGGGCCTTCAGACACCTGCCAGCCCTCTTTGGAGTACCTCTGGCCGCCCCAGGCTCCCGACCTGCCTTCTCCTTGGTCTCACCCATCAGCACCTATCCCCACCGGCTCCATACTCACTCAGTCTGCAGATTTGCTATTGTCGTCCTCCCAAAACTGTAAGGATCTTTGCCTGCAGAGAAGCACAGATACTTAGTTCCAGGGTCACGTGGGGAAGCAGGAGGGAACGTAATCAATTAGCCTTGGTTTGTGGAGCTCAGGGGAGGAGGAGCATGTCTAGACCAGCAGGAAGACAACAAGGTCTGGCTGGTCTTTACACCATCAAGGCCTCTGCTTGACACCAGCATGCTCCCTGATAACATCTCAACCTTCTGTTGCAGGGAAAGGCAAAATGTGAATTCATTTTGTTTTGAGAAAACTACAAACATCCTACATCGTTACAAAACCAACGTTGGGAACCACCGAGTATCCTAAGTGGATTCATGTTGGCATTTCGGAAGCTGGATTCTTGCAGTTGCCCTTAGATATAATGCCACACTCTGATTCTGACTAAGTATCATGGATATCTTCTGGGTCCTTAATTGTGACCTCCTAATTTGGGTGAGGGCAGGGAAGTATAAAAGACTCTCTGACATCCCCTGATTCTGTACATCTTGGAGGGCTTTTCTTCCCTATTTATATAGAACCAGAAATTGATATCAGACCCCAGTTTTAGCCAATGTTTAGGGTAGATTATTCTCCAGATCTTTAATAGATGGAAATGTTCAGAGAGTCACCCTGAGACCATCTTACATCTGAATTGGAGCATAATTCCTGGGATTCTGGTCTACCACAGAGAGCCCTTTCCCTAGGACTGCCACTCTGCCTCATTACCACATAGACAAGGGTGAGAAGGGTTATTACCCAGCAAGTCCCCCGAGAGGTTGACGGGCAGGATGACGCACAGGGACAAAAAGCTGACCACCACCAGCAGGAAGATGATGTGCCTCTGGAAGGACAGGTAGTGGATGGCATCCTCCCCACACCACTCCAGGATCTGGTCATCGCTGGCAAAGACACATGTGGAATCTTAATGAGCAGTGGGAACAGGCCAGGCCCTCAGGGCTCTGCATGAAAGGTCTCATCTCATCCTCACCACAATCTTATGAGATGGTTCGATTGTTAGCCCCACTTTTTTGTTCACATATGAGGAAATAAAGGTACAGGAAATTTGCATAACTTTCAGGATCTCACATGATATAAATTCCAGAGCCCACCATCTTAGGCCCTATACCATCCTCTAGGAAAAGCAACACCAGCATTCCATCTGATGTTGCTAGAAACATCTGTGCCCAAGTAACATGTATGGGAAAGGTATGTAAATACAGGCATCTCACAGTCCTGTCCTGCTTCTAAGGAGTCACATTCAGAATAAAGTTGGGGCCAGGTGCAATGGCTCACGCTTGTAATCCCAGCACACTGGGAGGCTGAGGCAGGTGGATCACCTGAGGTCAGGAGTTAGAGACCAGCCTGGCCAAGATGGTGAAACTGTCTCTACTAAAATATTTTAAAAATTATTCAAGCATAGTGGTGCACACCTATAATCCCAGCTACTCCAGAGGCCGAGGCAGGAGAATCACTTGAACTTGAGAGGTGGAGGTTGCAGTGAGCTGAGATCACAGCACCGTACTCCAGCCTGGGTGATAGAGTGAGACTCCATCTCAAAAAAGGAAAAAAAAAAAAAAAGAATAAAGTTGGGAATATGCCCAGGCCCCGGGCCCCCACCTGTCTCCTGTCTCCCCATCAGGTGAGCTGGAAGCAACAGGTGGAGCCAAGAGTCTCGGTCCATCCTACTGCCTGGCCTCCTCCCTCTGTCCCCAGAGAAGGGGAGGTGACCTGCTCCACCCTTTCCCACCCTTGGAGTGCTACACTTGGAGGCTCTGGGGCCACTGAGGACTCAGAAAATTCCAGGTTCATACAAGCCAGACTTCTGTGCTACGAAGGGAGAAGGGGCAGGGCACTCCGATCTTTCCCACTCCCTGAAGGTGCTGCTTCTAGGCTGGGAAAGCAGCACATTGGGAAGAGCTCAGGGAGGCAAGGGCTGCATCATAAAAAGCAGATCTGAAAGATGTCAGCATGGGCTTTGCAGTCAGACCACAGCGGAATCCCGTGCAGCTGTCTCCACCTGATAGCAGGTCACATGGCTCACCTACCTCGGACCTCGAGCAAGGAAACTGCCCACTGCCTACCTCATCGGCTTAGCAGGGGCTCAAAAGAGATAATAAGCATCAAACACCTAGTGCTATACGTAGTATCAGCAGATCCTCAGAAATATGCCTATTCATATGAGTCCTGATTACTATTTATCTAGAGGGCAGAGCTTTGCAATTAACTGCATTTTCTTGCTTCTCAATAAACTAACTCTCCTCCTGCTTCCTCTTGTTCCACAACAGAGTTGACTGTCTCCCCCAGGGCTCTGTCTCCTGCCAGTTCCCTTGGGAACAACTCCTATCAAACCGACCATTTATAACATGCTCTCACATGTATTAGTTCCAATGAATTAGGTTGAATTCGTGTTAGCCTCAGCCTCCTTTTACAGTTGGGGAAACTGAGGCCCAGAAAGAGGGACTTACTCAATATCCTATAACCACCATATTTCATCAATTTTAAGATGTCCTTTTCATATTTCAACTCCTCTGAAATGAGATGTACCCTATTGTTATGGCTGACGGTAGCTTAGCTGAAAACATATTCTTACTGCTATATAAAATAACATGCATCTTACAATGACGACTTCTTAGATTTGATGGAAAATGGCACAAGGTAAAAGCCAAGACTCACATCAGCCCCCACATCCCGGCTCCCTCCACCACATCAGAGGTAACTAACAAGCTCTTAATCGCCTTTAATCATTTTTTTTTTTTTTTTTTTTTTTTTTTTTTGAGACGGAGTTTCGCTCTTGTTGCCTAGGCTAGAGAGCAATGACACAATTTTGGCTCACAGCAACCTCCACCTCCCAGGTTCAAGTGATTCTCCTGCCTCAGCCTCCCAAGTAGCTGGGATTACAGGCATGAGCCACCATGCCTGGCTAATTTTGTATTTTTAGGAGAGACGGGTTTCTCCATGTTGATCAGGCTGGTCTCAAACTCCTGACCTCACCGAACTCCTGATCCGCCCACCTCAGCCTCCCAAAGTGATGGGATTACAGGCATGAGCCACCATCCCGGCCACCTTTAATCATCTTTTAGATTTCTCTCCATGGGCCTCATTGAAAAAAAAAAACTTGTAACCAAATGAATTCACTGTATTATATTTCTTCACTTTTCACTAATTCAAAGACATGCAAACCTGCCTAGAAGGGATTGACATGTAATCGGTGTTAAATATTAAGTAGAATAATTAAAGCAAAAAAATAGCTTGAATTATCTTGTGTAGTACTATGAGAGATGAACATGATTTCCACTGAATATGTTGAAATAAATAAAGTTCATCTCTGTCTTCAAGACCCCTTGTGATCCACCTCAATTTTGGAAGTCCCAGGCTCCAGCAGGGGCTGTGTATCCTCCAGCATGGAGGCTCCAATCCTACAGGCCTCCTCCCCTACTGCCCCGACCCCACAGGCTGCCTGCCCACCTTGATTCTCAGCCCTCACATACTGCTTTGGACCTGAACTGAAAAGTATCTAAGAGACCCCATCTTAGGATCAAGCGTCTTGGCTCTTTCCCCTGGATTGGCCAAATACCCAAAAAAAAAAACAGCGCAAAGGCCCCCCAGCAGCTGCCCCATGGTGTACTCACTGCAGACGGAAGATTGCCGTCAGCCACGGACAGCATCCCTGGAAACAGAGAGAACAGGGATTAGCTTCCAACATCTGTGCCTTTGGGAGGCAGACGTAACCTCTGTCTTTGACATTACATAACCATTTAACCTCCTGTTGTACAAAATGAGTGATTTTGTCCCATATTCAGCAAGCATGTGCCCAGTACTTCACAATATACACCATATGCCTGGAATTCTTGCTAAAATCTCTTGACAATTTCGTGATCAAATCACGAAACTTAGATCAAAAGCAGATGAAAGCTCAGGGCAGCTCTGGGGCAAGTGATGGGGGCTGCTGCTCGATTGTTCACAATCACTGACCAGGAGGTGGGACACGAGAGGAAGCAAGCCTAACAGATGGACGGTCCGCTGGAGTGGGAGTCAGGGGAAAGTGTATCTGTAAGTTTCGCCGTCCTTCACATCTCTTAAACTTAACACCTTAAAGCTGGGCTATTATCCAGCTAGGAAAGACAAATATTTGTTCAATAATTCATTCAACAATGACTAAGCACCCGCTAGGCATTAGGCACTGGGGAACAGGGCTGGAGAAGGCAGGGCTCCTGCCCACATCTGGCTCATAATCCAGCTGGCAAGTTCATAATTAACTGTCACACAAAGCCATGCGTGTAAGAGAGATAAGTGCTACGGAAGCGAAATGGATTCCGTGCCCGTTCTGGCCTACAAGTTCATACAGTCTCAGGATCCAGGGTCATCCAGCTGCCATCTCTCTTGGGGTATTTCCCAAGTGCAGGTGCCTTCATTGATGCAGAGAAGCACTTTCTCCAGCACTTGTCACTCAAGATCCGCCCTGCTCCCTCCCCAAAACCATGACTGCCAGTTTCCACGCCCTGGTGCCCTGGTCATGACCACAAGGGTTCCTTAGATACCAACCAGCTCATTTTCAAAGTCTTGTTGCCCTGAGGAGGAAGTCGATGACAATCTCTGAAATCTGGACTCACTAGAGACACAAAAAGAAAAAAATGACAGATAATTCTTTAAAAAAAAAAAAAAAAAAGTCAAAAAGATCATGTCCAGTATTTGCAGCCTCTTAGAGCTCAGAACTAAAGCTATCAGTCCTCAACGGCTGGAACAAAAGATAACTCACTCAGTGAAAGATAGAGACAAGGAAAACGACCATTCCCAGGTGTGGCATAAAACTCTGTGTTATATGGGATGAACAGCAAGGGGTCAACAGACCACCTGGGTGTCCCACAACCCAGAAACCACACCACTGTGACTGGTCCAGCTAAAGTGACTTCAAAGTATTGCCTATTTTCAATATATTTCCCAATATTATCAAGTAAAACTTGGAATAAATAGTGCATTTTATCAAATCTAAGATACCACTGGTTTTAATTTGCATAATTATTTTATGAACCGCTAAAAAAAAAATGCTGCCAAGTAAACTACAATCACCATTAATAACAAGATGCCTCCCAGTTTCAGAGATGAGAAAATGCCAGAACATATTTTAGAGTTGACAAATGGTGACACTTTATGTTGTGGCGTTTTAATCAGATCCTTTCTTGTGAGTACTCCCATAAAAACACCCCATGCACTATATGTGACTGCTTTTTTTTTTTTTTTTTTTGAGACAGAGTCTCACTCTGTCGCCCAGGCTGGAGTGCAGTGGCACGATCTTGGCTCACTGCAACCTCCGCCTCCTGGGTTCAAGAAATTCTCTGCCTCAGCCTCCGGAGTAGCTGAGATTACAGGTGCCCGCCACCACACCAGGCTAATTTTTGCATTTTTAGTAGAGATGGGGTTTCACCATGTTGGCCAGGCTGGTCTTGAACTCCTGACCTGGTGATCTACCTGCCTCAGCCTCCCAAAGTGCTGGATTACAGGCATGCACCACCACGCCTGGCCGGGACTGCTTTTCTTTAGTATCCTATTCCTGCTTCTACTGTCCCCCTTCTAATGACAAAAAAAAAAACATGATAAAAGCCTTTGCAGAGATGCTGTCTCTTTTGACCTTCACAGTAACCTCATGGGAAAGAGGGGACAGGAGGAGACCAACCCTAATAAGTTTGGGGACTTGACCAAGGTCACACAGCCAGGAATGCAGCAGGGCCCTCTAATCCCCAGGTGGTCTTTTCTACCAGAGTATGTGGCCCCCACTTCCAGCTGAATGTGCCATAAAGGCATCAGATGTCCTAAAAGGTTCTCCCCAACAGTCCAAGGTCATCACCTCAGGCTTTAGCAAATGCCAGAGCAGAGATCATGGGGAAGAAGAGTGCATTTACAGGTATACCTCCTCTTCCCAGTTCAGAGGACCCTGCTGCACAGGCCACATGTCAGGAGGGACCCAAGAGTGGAGGGTCTGCCTGAGGGGCCCAGGGGAGGCTCTGGGTAGCAGCTGGGGCCAGTCCCTGAGTTTTCTTTTTTTTTTTCTTTTTTAATTTTTTTTTTTATAGACAGGGTTTCACCATATTGGTCAGGCTGGTCTTGAACTCCCAACCTCAGGTGATCTGCCCACCTTGGCCTCCAAAGTGCTTGAATTACAGGCGTGAGCCACCATGCCCCGCCAGTCCCTGAGTTTTCATCACTCACTTCCTATTGCCACATCTGACACAAGATCCTGGGTGCAAACAGCCAGCTAGAGCTGGAACATCTGGTTGTACAGATCCAGAATTCACTGTCATGCTTCAGGCAACATGAAGAGAGAATCCTAGATCTCCAGGCAGAACTGGAAGGACCTGAGGCCTGGCCGAGGGAGCCTGTGCTTTGTAACAGACTCATCCAAAGCCAGCACTGACCTGGCAGGAGGGTGGGGCAGCTCCCTGAGGCCTCTGCTGCCCTTCTTGATCGTCACCCAGTCCTGACCCCATGCTAATTAATTTCAAAGATGATCACTTAAAAAGAAAATGGGCATCCTCTTTAGAGGATCATGAAAGCCCTCAGTATCTAAAGCAACCAGTCTGAAGTCAACAGGGTTCATGGTCTTGGCCCAACAGAAGCCCTGAAGGAGCTGAGCATCTGGGCCTAAGGTTTTGTTGTTTTGTTTTGTTTTGTGAGCACAATGAGGGTAGAAGGGCCAACCTCGTGGGTCTGTGGTGAAGAGCAAAGAACAACTATTGGTACAGGCTGGGCAGATACAGTCAACGAACACAATCTAATAGCAATGTCATGTGTGGGTCCTGCCCACACAAAGGGCTTCATAAGCCCACAGCCCATTCCAGGGAGATACACACACACACACACACACACACACACACACACACACACACATATACATACACACACATGCTCATAGGCACACAAGCACATATACACACTCACATATATACACATGCACGCTCATAGCCTAGGTGAAGTCTTTACCTGTCTGCTTCTGACACCAGGGCAATGCGGCCGTAGTCCCAGAATCTTCTTCTTATGATGGAAAACACCAAGATTAAGAACTAAAAAGAGAAAAGAAACCAAGTAAAAGCATGTTGGATGGCTTCTTCATTAGAAGAGACAGAGGTTTCAGGGGCAAAGCCCACCCACTCCCACTCAAGAGGGCTAGAAGGAAAACATTCGGGCCCAGAAAGGGCACTGAGCTGCCCAAGGCCACACAGCTCAGTAGCCCGGATGCTTTGCTCACCCCCTTCACCAGCTCCCATCACCTGTGCCCACACCGCCAAGGCTGCTAGCACTGATGCCAAGCTTGTCTGGAGTCTGCCTAGTCATGCACGTCATCCCTGTCCCTTGCTCTCAAGGCAGCGGTGACACCACAAGGCCCAGTCTCAGGCCTTGATCTGCCTTCAGTGGCCCCTAAGCAGGAAGGTAAGGTCTAGCCTCACAGCAGCCCCAGGAACCAGGGTCGTTTTTCACTTTACAAAAATTTTTTTTTTTTTTTTTTTGAGATGGAGTCTCACTTTTTACTCAGGCTAGAGTGCAGTGGCACTATCTCAGTCACTGCAACCTCCACCTCCAGAGTTTAAGCATTCTCCTACCTCAGCCTTCTGAGTAGCTAGAACTATAGATGCCCACCACCATGCCCAGCTAATTTTAGTATTTTTAGTAGAGACGGGCTTTCACCCCGTTGGCCAGGCTGGTCTCGAACTCCTGACCTCAGGTGATCCACCCGCTTCAGCCTCCCAAAGTGCTAGGATTTCAGGCATGAGCCACCACGCCTGGCCAGAAAATTTCATTTTTAATTACTGAACCAAGGTAGCAGAGCCTCCGCAGGCTGAGCCAGAAATGGTGAGTTTTCCTGAGTTTGGTTCCCCTGATGGCAGGCTCTGCAGGCCCTGCTGGCCCTGCAGACCCCCAGCACAGAGCACACAGGCAGCGAGGCCCCACGAAGACCTGTGTTCTGGCTGGCTCAGCCTCAGTAAGCTGGGATGCCTCAGCAGGCTTGTGTCCAATGGCAATCCCAGGGCTGGACTAAGCCGGTTAGCTCTAGACATCTATACATTCTAGACTGTCCTCACTCCCCACAGTCCACCTTGGCAGGGTCCCTGTCATGTTTCTGCATCTCTTCCCTCCCTAGACAGGGTCCCTCACTTTGAGGTTCGGGGAGGTAGAGAAATATGTCTTAGTGAGCACACCTCTACCTGCTCTGGTCAAAAACAGGGGTTGAAGGTGGGCTTTGTTTTCCTAAAGGAAATCCAGAAGACCTGAACCCCAGGGGCACTGAGTTCTCATGGGATTTTCTCCAGGGGAATCAGGAAGTTGGTGACATATTTTCAAAGGCAGGTGAGTCATGTTGTAGGAAAACCATGAAACCTGCTCGGCAGGTGCCCGCCCTCCCTGTCCACGGTGGCTGCCGCCCTGGCCTGTGTGGTGCAGATATTTCCCACACACCCATGCTCTCCAAGGCCCTCTGGCTCTTATGTATCCCCCCCACCTCCAAAACTTCCTGCAAAAAAAATCCACCCCTGGCCAGGCATAGAGGCTCAACTGCTGTAATCCCAGAACATTGGGAGGCCAAGGCTGGTGAATCGCTTGAGCTCAGGAGTTTGAGACCAGCCTGGGTAACATGGTGAAACCCCATCTCTATCAAAACTAAAAAAATTAGCCAGACGTGGTGGCACATGCTTATAGTCCCAGCTGTGCAAGAGGCTGAGGTGGGAGGATTGCTGAGCCCAGGATGAGGAGGTTGCAGTGAACAGTGATTGTGCCACTGTACTTCAGCCTGGGGGACAGAGTGAGACGCTGTCTCAAAAAAAAAAAAAAAAAAAATTCCCCTCACCAGCACACTCCAGTAGAGAGTGACTCTCTTCTCAACCAACACTGTTGCAACAATGCCCACCCAACCCACCCAGGGCTCCTGCCCAGGCCCCCTTCTGTACTACTCACCTTGGCCAAACTCTCCCACCCTGAAGACCCAGGGCCACCCTCCTCTAATCCCACCGACTCTGAAATCCACCCCCACACCCCTGCCCACTCCTCCCTGCTACCCTAAGCCACCCTCCCCACATTCCCCACCCAAGCCTAGTCTCCAGCTCCAAGCAGTCCAAGGATGTCTACTCCATCAGACCCACCTGCCCCCTTCACTCAGATAGTCTCTGCTACATGTTAGGAGACAGCGCCAACAGGCACTGGCCAGCCCATGGCATTTGTGAAAAGAGGGGCACTTTAACCCCAATAAATCTCAGCCAGTCAACGTTCAGTCTGCATAAGGAAGAACAATGACATATTTCAAATTGGAGGCATCTTTGTGAACAAGGAGATCTACGTTAAAGAAAGACTACCTGCTGAGGGTATGCTCCAAGAATCAGCTTCTGATTATGATTATTTTTTTTTTTTTGAGACAGTCTTGTTCTGTTGCCCACGTTGGAGTGCAGTGGCACAATCTCAGCTAACTGCAGCCTCCGCCTCCCAGGTTCAAGCGATTCTCCTGCCTCAGCCTCCTAAGTAGCTGGGACTACAGGTGCGTGCCACCATGTCAGGCTAATTTTTGTATTTTTAGCAGAGACAGGGTTTCACCATGTTGGCCAAGGCTGGTCTGAAACTCCTGACCTGGTGATCCACCTGCCTCAGCCTCCCAAAGTGCTGGGATTACAAGTGTGAATCACCACGCCTGGCCTTCTAATTCTTTAAAAACCCCAGGGATGCCAGGGGGTAACAAGAGGTAACACTTGGGAATTGCAGCTGCTCTCATTCTAATCCGTATTCTCCATTCACATCTCTCAACTGGACCCCATGAGATGACCCTTCCCAAGGTCCTTAAAGACAGGACAGGCTGAGAGCTCTGCAATCATGGTAATTATTACAGGCATGGCTATGTGAGTATTTTACACACATGGCCTTATCTAATCTCCAAAATTCTGAGTTAGGATTATGATCTCCATTTTCCAGAGCAAAAAGGGAGGTGCACACAAGCTATGTAACATGCCCAAGTCACAGAGCTGGTAAGCAGCAGAGGTGGGATTTAAATCTAGCTATGTCTGACTTATTCAGTTTCCCAGAAGGCCCTGGGTGAGGGATTTATACAAATAACTGAGGCTGGGGGACATGACTCATGAGGGTTCTCACCAGGAAGCAGCTGACGTCTATAAGCAGGACAGTGGGGATGCCACCAAAGGTGACCCCCTGGAGCACGGTGCTGTTTTTGGCCGAGTTGTAGCAGTAGGAGTCGTTGGGCTGGTCCCCGAGGCCCAGTCGTTTACGGATGGTCACCGCCTTGGACTGCCACAGCTCCAGGAATGGGGAGTCCGTCATCACACCTGTCTTCCCTGGAGCACAGGACAACAGAACAAGGCAGATGTTCAGGGCTTGAATCTCTTGCAGTTTCCCACCAGTGCTGGCAGGGCCAAAGGTGGGCGTTTCCCCAGGGACTGGTGGTGCGTGGGGAGCCAGCAGCAAAGAGTCCGGGAAAGCCAGACATTGGACCTCTGTGTGCCTGGCAGTGTCCACAGAGAATGGCTCCATTGTGGGAGAGTCCCGGGGAATCAGATGGTCAGGGTGAATGGCTCACCCAGGACACAGCAGGCAGATACCCAGAGGGGGTGACATGGAGAAAGAGAGGAACAGAAGTTGCTGCAGCTGCTGGCTTAAGAGGTCCTGAAGTTCCTCTAGCCTCAAGGACTCGGGATGGGAAAATCACTCTTGCAGAAGCCACTGGCAGATCTGGAGTACAGGCAGGGGAGAGGGAGAAAGGACACAAAGGCAGGAAGAGGAAAACACAGGGATAAACAAACAGGGAAGAAGGGAACATCCAAGTATTCACAATGGTCCAACCACACGAGCCACAGACAACACCTCACTCCCACTAATGACAGAATCCCAAATCCAATGTCCTGATTCTTAGATGCCAGTTCCTCTTTTTACTTTGCCACAGAGGAAAAAGCAAAGGGGGTCTCCTAGGGTAGGGAGGGGAGGGAGTTGGGAGTCTCAGGGCCTCCTCAGGGACCTCTGGGCCCCCCAGCTCCACCCTTTCACACACACATACACCTCCTGGGTACCACTGGTCTAACTGCAAGGCCCAGCATTTCCAAAGCAAACACTGCTCCAGGCTGGGCTGCAGACCTCCCTTCCCGAGGCTCCTGGCACCCCTGGTGAAGCTAATGGAAATCTCCCGTGTCTGTCCCCTGACACCAGAGGCCTGGGAGTTAGTGTCCAAGTTCTGGCCAGCTTCTCACACTGTGGGTGAAGGGCCAGAAGACATGTTCAGCCTGGCCTTGCTTAAGCTCCCACCTGCCCAAATCTGGTGAAACTAGAATTCCCAGATTTCTGCTAAGTCTGGTCCTTCTAGCTGTTACGGGGACAAAGATCTTGAGGACAAGAAGAAAAGATACAGAGAACCCAAACAGATGTTTGGATACCTGGTAGTGCTGGTGGGATGTGTGCTGGGAAAGACCTGGGCCTTCAGTGCTGGGGACAATCACACATGGACACCTACACATGCACACACAGACACACATGACCGGAGGTACAGGAAGCGTGAATGAGTGGAAGGCCCAAGGGTATGGGAGCATCCCTCAGAATGCCAAGTCACTTTCTCGACCTTCGAAGAGACTTGGCAATGGCTGGAGGCAGTGGGGGTTGTGACGCCAGAGTCACGGAGCTGCTGGCTCTGAACAGTCACAAAAGTGGCCTCTGGAATACAGATGTTCTCGGCTTCCCTTTACACCCCACCCAGTAGCACCACCCAATGGAACATCCCAGCTCAACACTTCAGGCCAACACCCACCCCTCCTCCTTCCTGTCCCCACACTTACCAGACGCCAGGGGAACGAAGGACTGCCGAAGGGCCCGTTAGAGGGGTCCTCAGTTGGAGCTGTCTCTGGCAAAGGCAAAGGCAGCCCCGGCCACCTTCCAAGCTGCCAAGGGCCAGGCCTCAGTCCCAACACGCATTTCCTGCCGGGCTTTCCTGAGCAGCGGCTCCTGGGGTACCAGTCTGTACGCTTTCCTGAAGGATCACAGACACCTAGTATCACATGGGAGCCACCCCTTTCCAGTTAGGGGTCTGGATGGAAACCCTCCAGCACACATCCCTGCACACATGCTGCCCATACAGAGCTTTAGGTTCTGCCCAGTGGGCTCCCTCCTGCCTGATCTCTCCACAAACTCCCCGAACTGGTTCTCCATCGTCAGTGTTCCTCTGTGCAACCGGACTCCTTCCTCAGCCCGCACCACCTGTGGCCCCAGCCTCTCTCTTCGCCAATGGTCAAGGACCTGCTGGGGCTAACAGAGCAGCCCTCTCCCACAGAAGCCCTGGAGGCTGTGAGCTCATGGTAGGACCCCAAGCAAAGGACTTCACGTGGGCCCTGAGGGCTAGTATTGCTGGGGAGGCTCCCCAAGTTTTCCCAAGGGTTAGAATCAGGAAAAAGGAACACAGCAGCATGAACAAGGAAGACTTGAAAAGTGAAGTGGAAAGAAAAAACATCCCCATAAAATGCTCACAGAGGGAGCATTGTCCCTGGAAAGGGGAGGGTGCTGTGGAGGTGCTGGGAGTGGCACACCCTCGACAGAGCTGCAGAGGAGAGAGGCGCCTCCTCGGAGGGAAATACCTGCGGCTCCTCTTGCCCCTCCAGCCCCCATGCCTCTAAGTAACTTTCCTCTTGTCAAATTGATTCCCCAGGGTGGTTTGGCAAAGTTTAATAACAACTCAGGGAGGTAGCTGGCAAATACTATCAGCCTGGGATGGAGGTAAGGCCAGATGGCCAGTCCTGTCTGCCCTCTCCAATGAGCACCCAGGTTAGGGCACAGCTCTGGGGATCCACAGTCTCTCTCAGACCTTTCAGCTCAGTCCCAGCCTGTCCCTGCCCATTAGACACCTAAAGTCCAGATCCCGCTGAAACAGCTCTGTCCCTCTGGCTCTCAGAGGGACAGCTCCTCGGCATCTTCACACACAGGAACACGCTGCGCAGGCAGCTGGGAACTCAGCCACCATGGGGCAGTGCCGCCAAGCTGAGGAGAAGGCAGGGGGAGGGGAACACCCAGCTGGCAGGATGTGGAGGCCAAACCAGTAACCAGGCACTGTGGTTGCAGTGACAACACCTGGCTGAGAACCCCTGTCAATATTCAGCCATCCTAGATGTGTGTGAATGCCCACCACTTATCTGTGCCCTCCAGAAATTCTCCATTCAGCCCATATTCCTAGCCAATATGCCGAGGGTAGGAAAGCCAAGAATTACTGCTGAGGCCCAAGAGCCAGAGTGGGCAGCAGGTGACCTCACTCTTCCAACCCAAAGTTCAGCCCAGGTGCACCCAAGCATCTGATTGTGGAAGCAGGACAGGGCTAAATCCAACAGCTGGTCTGAATTCGCCAAAGTCAACCACCAGTGCTAACTCACTACCAGTCTCCACCAGGCAAGGACTGGCCTGGTGACCAATGTGATGAGCTCGAGAAATGCTAGCAGAATGTTGCAGGAAGTATGTGGGTATTGCTGGTTCTTGCAAGAAGGCCCTGTACAAATGCAGGGTAATTTTATCATCACCAAATCTTCCAATCCTGTGATGATGAGAGCAAAACTACAAGCAGCTCCAGGCCTTCGCCTCAGGAGCTAACTCTGGTCTTTCAGATGCACAATAAGATTGCAAAGTAAAGTACAAACTTTTCCTTACGGCCACACCAAACAGACCCAGTAATCTGGACAACTGTTTACCTCTATCCTGGAGCACAAAGGGAATGACACAGCCCCTGGCTGAAAGGAGAGGCAGCGTGGCTCAGGGATTATGCGAGCAGGCTCTGGCGTGAAGGTCTCAGTGGCACGCAGTTCAAACAAGCCGCTTAACCATTCTGTGCCTTGGCTTCCTTCTCCAGGAAATGCCAAGTGGTGACTTTCTCTCCTGGGGCTGTTGGGAGGCACACACCCAAAAGAAGACCTGTAAAGCACTTACCCAGGCCCTAGCAAGCAACTAGGAGCTGTCTGCCTTTATTTTAAGTCAGCCCTCCAGCTAATGGGAAACACAAGGGCAAGACCTACCTGGCGTCTTCTTTGTTAGATCCCAGTGAACGGCCAGGAGAGACCTTTGCCCCCACACTAAACAAAGGAGTGGGGTGTGTGAAGGAAAAGGAACCTTGGCTTCCCTTCATATCCCCCTGAAGGCACAGCCGACTTGAGGATGACCTGACAGGTGTCAGGGGAGGGTCAGTGGGTCCACCACTCTGTCCACCCCTGCCCTTGAGGACACCACCTGCCTGGGGCTCAGGTACCGAGTCTTATCAGGTGATGGAACCTCTGCGGATTTGGTTTCTTAGCAGAGCTCGCTTCACTCCTCCCGCCCCCGTCCTTCCCCCAAGTCCCCCAGTCCCCGAGTCCCCAGTCCCCAAGTCTCCAGCCTCCCTCCTCAGGACTCCACCAAGGCTGCAGGAAGTGGTCATCCAGGGACAGCCCGAAGGTGGCCTCTGCCTTCCCAGGGTCAGGAGACTCGGACGCCTAGCCCTTTCCCAGCCTGGCCTCGCACAGGGTGCGAGGAGCTCATGGCTGCGCTCCTAGTTATGTGGGAGGTCGGACTCCGCCGACAAATCCCAAAGAGAGGGGTGGGGAAGGAGGCACCAGCCCTTAAAGCGAAAAGCTGGAGCCTCAGAGAGGGAAGGCCTGAAAAGCCGCCAGGAAGTCCCGAGCAGCGCGGGGCTGGAATGGGAGTGCGGGGCTGGAATGGGGGCGCGAGGTCCCCTGCCCTGACCCTCTCCTCCCACCCAATTCCGCGTGGTCACTCCCTGCTTGGGGTCGGGGGATTTGGGGTCTGCTGAGGCTAGGACCCGTTCCGGAACCAGACACTTGGCGCGCACCCCGAAGAGGACCAGGCCCCGCGCGTCCCGGGAAAGGCGGAGGACGACAGTTCTCCCCCTCACATCCCCTGTCCCCTATACCTGCGGCGGCGGCGTATCTGGCTGGACCCGGCCAGGCAGGGAGTGTTCCGACCACTTAAAAGTTACGAAGTGAAACTCCGGCGCCTCCTGCACATGCGCAGAGCTGCGTCCGCCGCTTGCCTAATTTGCAGCCTTAGCCCGCGCCGGCGCGAGCCTGGCCACCGCCGACTGAGCCTGCCGCGGTGGTCCTCGCGGTCCTCGGCCCCGGCCTGGCCCCTTGGTCGCCGCTCAGCTCCACAGCTGTTCTCGGAGGTGTGCAAGCCCCGGCCCGGCCAGCTCACGTCCAGGGGCCGAGAAGGGATCCGCCCGGGCGCACCCTCTTCCTTGTCCCGGCACGAGCCCACTCTCTGGACGCCTCCGGGAGACCCGGGCCAAGCACAGGGTGGTCGCGGCGCTGGGAGAGCATCTGCAAACGTTGTTCCCTGTAGTACTTTGAACTTCCCGGAGGAGCTCTTAGGCCCGCCCCGGGGAAGTCGGGGCGGCGGGGTGGCAGCATGGGGAGCTCAGCCGGACTTAGCCCGCCCCTCGGCTCGGGGTAGTCGGGGACCGCGCGGAGCGCCCTGCAGGAGGCCGCGGCTCCCCTGCCGCTGTAGAAGGCCGGACCGTGAATGCCCGGAGGGTCTCCGTTCGGACAAAACTGGGGGTCGCAGCATTTCCAGCGTTCCCTAGGGCCAAGCCCGCTACTGCCCGAGCCAGGGCCGCCAAGGGCACCGACTCCAGCCCAGCTCTGAGAGCGCGGCGTGCCTTCCCGGCCCGGGGCCAGGTGTTTCCAGGGAGCCGGTGGCCTCTGCAACTCGACAACAAGCACGCGAGGGCAGGGCCGGCCCGCAGCGCAAGGCGCTGTTGTGCGCTGCGCAGGAAGCTAGGCGGGGTTCCGGGAGGACCGCGCGCCCTGGGCATCAAGGAGCAGACCGCCCCCTCTGCAGGTCCCGGTTTCCCTCTCTGTGAAATCAGCAATTGGACCAAAGCTTCCTCCCGGGTCCTTTCCAGCACCAAACCTCTCTGAACTCTGAGCAGTTCTCACCCCGCATGCACAGCTTTGCAGGTTCTCCGACCTCTCTTCCTTTTCTGAGCTTTCATCTTTTTCTGTAACGATGTAAAAATATCTCCTTACCTCCCTGTCCCTGATTCTAGCACCAGTCTCTGGCTGTCCAGTGGTGGGTGGGGAGGGTCTCTTCCTGCCTCTCTCAGTTCTTTTTTGTCCCATCTGGCTTCCTCCTTCACTCCCCAAACCTCTAGCTACTAGTTAGTTCACAGTTTTTCCTCTGTGCCCCCCACCCCAGTATCATCTCTGCCCTTGTCCCTGTGTAGCTGCGCCTGGCCATCTCCCTTCCCTGCTCTCTTACCTTCTGCCAAGGACCCCATAGCTGACCTTCTGCAGGGTCCTCGGTGTGGCCCCTGGACTCCCCGTTGACTCTTCAGATGGCCCTATCCAATCTTCTTTCCACTCCCCACTCCCGCACCTGCCTGTCCTCCTCCCTTCCCTGCCTCAATAAATGGTGCCCCCACCTGTCTGATCTGTGCCATGGGTCCAGGCAAGTGCAAGGGTCCAGCCTTGGTAATTAGAATGCTGGAGCCACTGACAAAGATTTCAGAGAGAAAAAGGATTTCTAAATTTGTTCTTGAGTAGGTTAAGGTTATTTCAAAATCGAGAAAAGATCTTGATGGATCAGAATGTGAGTTGAGATAGCCAAAGCCTTTGTTATGTCAGTTGTGTGAAGTGCTTGTAAAATCACTATTTTATTTTTTTCCTTTTTTGAGACAGAGTCTCCGTTGCCCAGGCTGGAGTGCAGTGGCATGATCTTGGCTCACTACAGCCTCCACTTCCTGGGTTCAAACGATCCTCCCACCTCAGCCTCCCAAGTAGCTGGGATCATAGGAGTGTGCCACCATGCCCAGCTATTTTTTTTTTTTTTTTTTTTTTTTGTATTTTTGAAGAGACGAGGTTTCATCATGTTGGCCAGGCTGGTCTTGAACTTCTGACCATAAGTGACCCACTGATCTCGGCCTCCCAAAGTGCTGGGATTAAAGGCATAAGCCACCTCACCTGGCCAAAAATGACTATTTTCTTAAATCCTCAGTAAAAGTATGAAAGTGGGGATTGTTTCTATTTAAAAGAGAAGAAAATGAAGCTTTAGATAATCTGGAATTTACAGCTAATAAGAGCTATGCAGACTGGCAAAGAAGCCAGATGTCCATGTCTCAGGCTGAGACCCTGAGTCAAGTTTGCAGCTTAAAAGCCCCTATAATCTTGGCATTCTAACATGTTATATCCCAACATTATGGACACTTGCTCCTTTTGTCTGCTCAAAATCAAGGGAGTGACTCACATTCTTGGACATCTTGGCTTCTTTGCCAGTCTGCACAGCTCTTATAGCTAGCTATACATTCCAGATCCTTCAAAGCTTCATTTTCTTCCCTATTAAGTATAGATGATGATTTTGATCACAGATTTTATTCTGATGCAAGTAGAATTGAAATAAAGCCCAGTCGCTATGCCCAGGAAAGTTGGAGTGTCAAGAGCAAAAAGATTTCTATATCAATTCTGAGAGGACAGACACCACAGATACTAGAATCGGAATGCATTTTATTTTTTATTTTATTTTTGAGACAGAATCTCGCTCTGTTGCCCAGGCTGGAGTGGAGTGGTGCGATCTTGGCTTACTGCAACCTCTGCCTCCTGGGTTCAAGCAATTTTCATTCCTCAGCCTCCCAAGTAGATGGAATTACAGGCGCACACCACCACACCCAGTTAATTTTTGTATTTTTAGTAGAAACGGGGTCTTGCTATGTTGGCCAGGCTGATCTTGAACTCCTGGCCTCTAGTGATCTGCCTACCTCGGCCTCCCAGAGTGCTGGGATTACAGGCATGAGCCATTGCATTGGCCCTGAAAGCATTTTAATCCTAGTTTCCTGTATTACTTAACCAAGATCTTTACCAACTCTTGGCCAACTCAGGCTCTTTCCTTAGTTTTACAATCAGGTCAACCTGTAGAACTTTCAGTTCCCTGTAGAACTTTTGTTTCCTTCCTCAATTTGCAGAGCTTTGATTAAAATAGAAAATTACAGCTAGGTATGGTGGCTCACACCTGTAATCCCAGCACTTTGGGAGGCTGAGGCTGGTGGATTACTTGATGTCAGTAGTTCCACACCAGCCTAGGCAACATGGCAAAACCCCATCTCTATTAAAAATACAAAAAATTAGCCTGGCGTGTTGGTGCACACCTGAATCCTAGTTACTCAAGATGCTGAGGCAGGAGAATCACTTGGACCTGGGAGACAGGCTATGGTGAGCCGAGACTGTGCCACTACATTCCAGCCTGGGTGACAGTAAGACTGTCTCAAAAATAAATAAAATAAAATAGAAAATTACAAAATTACAGAATAAAATGTGTTTTATTTATGTTTTGCAAAGTCTTTATTATCTGGATTGGGAGTGCACAACTCTTAACCCCAGGTCTTAGACCCGGAGTGGTGGTGAAGGAGTTTAGTCATGATCCAGTGACAGGACAAGAAAACAATGACACATTAGGGTTTCTGCCATTAGGTTACAGTATCTTCACACATGTAAGTGCTTAGAATATAGTGCAGTGAATAATATGAACAGAGAAAACTGAGCAAGGGCTCCCCAGTGGCCAAAGATTCTCATTCCTGTGAAGCAAAAACTAGGTGTGAGGTAACTTGTCAGAGGAAGAAAATTCAGGGCTCACTAGAGATCACATAGATTCGTCCATCAGCTGTTCAGTCATCACCAGCTCTCCTGGTGCCCTAGAACACTTCAGAAACACACACAGGTCAAGTTCCTCCAGGCGCCTATGGCTGGAGCCTCCTTGGCACGAGCGCCCCATCCGAGGCACAGCTGCACTTCTGCACCCTCATGTTGGGCAGGCTGACCACCTGGGGCCTGGTCCTGCCTCCCTCCTTGATGCTGACAATCATGGGCAGTGAGGCGGTCTCTGAGGCGATGCACTGTCGTGGCCCCAGAACCGGCCACTTGAAGGCCAGGGCCTCCGGGGGCTGCTGGCACGTGCCCACACACTCATAAGCCAGGAAGCCCGGGGGCTCCAGCACCCAGTTCTCTGCCCACTTCATCCCCTGCAGGTCAATGTACATCTCCTGGCGGCAGCATCGGGTGCCCTCGGTCACTGGTGCTTCAGGGTCACAGTCACCCTGAGCTCTGTGGGGGCAAGGACAGGCAGGGTCAGAGGTCAGCTGGGAAGGCTGAGGTCACAGGGCATCTGGGGGGGAGATTTATGATCCATCTCTTAAGTTCAAAAAGCTGAATATTTGCTATATAGGATGGAAAGCTAGAAATAACTTGAAAATTAATAACTAATATTTACTGAGGACCTCCTAAGAGTCAGAGAAAGAGTTTTATACATTGCCTCATTCATTCCCACAGGACTCTGAAAAGCTGTCCATTTCAGAATAAATTGAATTGCCTCTCTCTGCTCTTTATTCAGGCTCACCAGTTTGACCCTCAGCACCTACCCGTAGTCCCTGAGGTCCAGGGTGTGCAGCTCCAGCTGGGGCTCCCCACGCCCCTCCGGCGTCCCCTGAGAGGCGAAGCGGACCAGCCTGTGGGCTTCGGACGCCCCCGGGCCCAGGTGCTCCCTCTGCACCGACACCTGCAGCAGCAGCGGCTGCCGGGGCCGGCTCAGCTGCTGCCAGAAGTTCACGGCCTCGGTCACGTCGAAGGCCTTCCAGCCGCTCTCGTGGACGGACACCAGCCTGAGGACACGACACACATGACACGGAGACCCAGCGCCGCGTGAGGGCGGGGACTGAAACTGGCCGAGGTCCCGGCGCCGCCCCCCGCGTCCCCGCCCCCAAGCCGGGCCGAACAGCCCCCTCGCCCTGCCCTGCGCGCCCGCGCGACCCCCACCTGGAGTCGATGAGGGAGGTGCGGTTGGAGCCGTCGTCGCGGACGCTCAGCCACTCGACGGTGACCCGGGCCCGGTCGCTGCGCGGGGACAGCCGCCAGTGCCTGTGCAGCGCGGCCCTCGGGACCGGCTCCTGGAAGAGCCGCAGCACGGCCTGCACCAGCTCGCGGTTGGGCGGCAGCCGCTGCTCCATGCTGAACACCAGCAGGTGCGTGCTGGCCTCGGACGCCAGGAACCTGCCGGCCACCTCTGCGGACAAGAGCAGGGTCAGTGGGGTCAGCAGGGCCTCCCCGGACTCCAGGGGAGCTCTGAGGTTGCAGCGCCCAGGATTTCTCCAGTAACCACAGGGAGAATTTCGGGGCTGAGAAACTGGTGGGCCAGGAAAGACAAAGCGCTCCCCACATACATCCCAATAAAAAAAAATGCAGTGAAGCCGTGTCCTACAGCAGTCACCTGGAGTTGGGGCTTGTTTACCAGCCGCCGCCATCCTCAGTCGGTAGGGGCAGTTTGGAGACCCTGCGCAAAGAGCTGGGGCTTCAAGTGGACAGAAACACAGCCTTCCCTAGGGGCAGGACTAGAAGGGGAGCGGGAATGAAAAGAGGGAGGCAGAGAACCCAAGTGGAAGTCTGTGATCACCAGCTGAGCTGTGCTTTTCTGAAGGGGCAGAGGAAGAGGCCTGAATGTGCTCTCATTTCCCTCTCTGGTGACAGAGCTCATGCCCAGTGTAATGTCCCCAAATGAATGAACAGGAGCCAGGTGCCTATAAACTACTTCTGTGGCGCTACTGAGCCCTGAGTTCAGTGGCGTCGTCCCATGCAACCCCCTCCTCAGAGGTACCAGTGTGTCATTAACACCCCTGCTGCCTGTTCAGGACCAGCATCCTCCTCTCCCCAGACATGCAGCTTGCCTGCAGCACAGGATGGGTGCAGGTCTAGCTCTGGGCACTGAGGAGGTGACTCCCAGCCCCAGGGACGTTAAAGGCTGCAGCTGCACCCCTGACTGCCAGGTATGACCCATGTATTCTACTTAAGTGCGGTATTTTTCAGTTACCCAAACACGTTTCTATTTATAACGACTCATTTTGATGTTCACAATGCTGGCAGATGGGCAATACATAGTTATACCCCAGTTCCACAGGAGTGAATGGTGTGACGTGATTTTAAAGCAATATGCTCAAAGTGGAGCTCAGACCAGCGTGGCAGTCTGAGAACAGCCCAGGAGTCCTGCCTGCATGGGTGCACACTGAGGCCCAGCCATCCTTACAGGCCTGGCGCCTCCTCACTGACCCTTAGACATGGCCCCCACCCCACCTCCCGCAGACCTCTGCAAGGCCAGGAGACCTGTGACACCACCGGAGTGGGCAGAGCTGGCCCAATCCCCACCATGGGACCAGGGGCGGCAGGTAGGGAGGGCCTCACCTTGGAAATGCTGGCTGAACCTCTTCCCTCGGGAGCGGTCCCTGTGGCTGCGCTGCAGCAGGGCCACATACTGGGCCCTCACATGGGCAGGGATGGCCAGCTCCTCCACGTCAGCCCTGTCCAGGACGGGCACCTCGCTGAGCTGCAGCTGCCTCAGCAGGCTGCCCAGGAGCTGCTCCCCAGTCAGGGCCGCCCCGGGGCCGGCCAGGGGCAGCACCCAGAGCACCCAACAGAGCCACAGGGGACGCATGGCACTGCCTGGAAGGAGTGATGGGCAGAGTGGGACTGTGACCTAAGGAGGCTGCAGGCGGGTCTCAGGTAGCCAGGTGTGCTGAGAGCCAGGCCTGGGCAGCTAGCTTTATAGCCTGGGGTGGAGGGAGGAGGGACAGGGGAGGGAGAGGGGCCGGAAAAAGGGAGGGAGTTCACACCCCTGGGACCTCCTGGGAGCTCACAGCCAGACAGGTCCCTTAGCTGGGAGGAGGGGGCTTTCTAGATAAGGCAAGTCTGTCTGGGCTATGAACAGCTGGCTGTGGCTGTCTGTACAATGGTCATGAACCGCCAATGTGGGTTGCGGCCTGACCAGTTAAATTCAAAAGCTCATCTCCCAGAGTAGAGGTGGGGCTCTCATTCTCTGCAAGAGGCTCTGTTCCCCCAGTTGCTGGTAAGTGGACCTAGAGTCCTGTTCCTTGCTACAACTAATCAACAGGAACTGGAACTGCTGAGGCAACGCCAGGGGTCTCTGACTAAGGGCCAATCTGGCCTGCAGGGATGAGCATCTGGGCTCCTGCTCAGAGGGTCCTGGGGCCTCATGAGATCCTGAGCTGGTGGTCCCCAGTTGTGAAACCAGACTTCCCACTGTTCTGGGGGGACCTTCTAGGCCAGGGAGCTCGGGACCAATGGGGTTTTGTCCAATAAGAAGCCTCATCCTCTCCCTCATCCCTGCTATTTACAAAATTAGAGTTTAGAGTTGAAGAAATATCCAGGCTACCTTCTCACTCAATTTTTTTCTTTTTTTTTGAGAAAGAGTTTCATTCTTGTTGTCCTGGCTGGAGTGCAATGGTGTGGTCTCAGCTCACTGAAACTGCCCCCAATTTTTGAGCTGAAAAAAATTTGAGGCCCAGAGAGATATCAGCTTCCTGAAGCTCACAAAGTTAACGATCAATGTTCATATAAAATCAAGTCTTGCAATTCCCAAAGTTCTCGGCACACTCAAATTATTTACAGCCTAGTTTTGACCTATGCCCTAAAGGGAGCCGGGTGGTCTCAATCCAAGTGATCAGGTCTAGGCTGGGGCAGGGGGACAATCCCCCAAGACAGAGGACCCCTATCCTGAATGTCAGCTTGTGGGCTGGTTGAAGAGTTTTGCTGGGGAAATAAAACAATTGTGTGGTCAGCCAGGGGTAGGGCTTCAGATAAAATACAGGACCCAATTTGGGACATAATTATACTAAAAAGTTATTCATTGTCTACCTGACATTCAAATTTCACCAGAGTCCTATATTTTTATTTGCTAGATCTGGTCACCCTAGTCAGAGGTCAGAAAAAGAAAGCGAATGTGGATTGGGAGACCGTTTACAAAGGTCTGAAGTGTTGCCAGGAGGGAGGGCAGCCCCAGCCTTTGTCATGCAGAAGAAGGAGCCTGGCTTCCCCAACTACCCTGCCTGGGTCTGCCCTGATTGGGCTTGAGATGGTAAAGTGGCTTCAGAACCAGATCTTCTGTCTCAGGGAGGAGAGCAGGACAGGGGAATGAGTGATCCCTAGCCTGACTCCGAACACATGTGGACTTGGCCCTGGGCCCAGAGCTAAGGACACTGGAGGGCAGTAGGCTGGCCATGCTGGGGGGAGGGAGAGGGAGCCCAGGTAGGAGGGTGGTTGAGGAATGGGGCCTGTGTTTCAGCCACCCTCCTGCTCCTGATGGGCCAGGATGTGACCCCAACCAGAGGCCAGTCTACCAGGTGAGGGCCATGGGAAAACATGGAGGTCAGAGGTCATCCTGAGGCCTCCATGGGTGGGGACGAGCTGGACTAGGCCTGGGTTCTGAGGTCAGTGATGTTAAGAGTCCAGGAGTAGAGTGGCTTCTACTCAGAGCCCAGCAACTGGGGTCTTCAGGGTGGCTTTTGTCCCCTTCCTGGGCAAGGACAGATACTTCTGAGAGTGCTCGGGAATTGCCCCAAGGCCAGTCCAGGTGTTCCTGGGCTGCCGCAACCCACACCATCAATGTCCCTGACCCTAGGCCTGGGGGCCCATGTGGCTCCTTGGTGGTTCCAGGCACGCCCTATGTGGGCCCTTCCTGTTCTCCCAGAGTAGCTCAGACTCTGGCATCATCGGGGGGCCTTCCCTGGAGCTCCCTCTGGGCTGAGGAGGGTGGGAAACAGAGCAGCAATAGGGACCTGTTTCAGTTCATCCAGTGCCTTTGCAGAGTAGGCACCTCTTGCTAGACAGCAATAACTCGAGCATGGCCTGGGAAGGACCCTCTCTCCCTTGGTGATGTTCGTTCAGTGTTCCAAGCTATGGACCCTGGGAATGGCCAACCCGGATGTTTAACTATGAAGAACATCGGGCCCATGGCCCATTCCTTGGAACACAGTTCCTACATGGCACCGAGGTCCATTGTTTTGAGGTAGGTGGAGGCTGCTCAGTAGAGGTTGCTAGGTAGAAGTTGCAATGTGAAGATTTTGGGCTGAGTGCTCCCTCCTATAATCCCAGCACTTCGGGAGGGCAGATCACTTGAGGTCAGGAGTTCAAGCCCAGCCTGGCCAACATGGCAAAACCTCGACTCTACTAAAAACACAAAATTTACCAGGCTTGGTGGCAGGTGCCTGTAGTCCCAGCTACTTGGGAGACTGAAGCAGGAGAATCGCTTGAACTTGGGAGGCAGAGGTTGGGGTGAGCCAAGATCACAACTCTGCACTCCAGCCTGGGCAACAAAAGCGTAAAACCAATTTGATGAATATCTGGAGCAGTCAGAACTCTCGAATATCACTGGTAAGAGCGTAAAGTGCTATACCACACTAGAGAATTCAGCAGTATTTACTACAGTTCAAGATACTGTGTAAACTTAAGACCTAGCGGCCAGGCACCATGGTTTATGCCTATAATCCCAGCACTTTGGGAGGCCGAGGTGAGAGGATGGCTTGAGGCCAGGAGTTCAACCAGTCTGGGCAACATAGCAAGACCTCATGGCTACTATAAAAAAAAAAAAAATCAGTCAGGCGTGGTGGCACACACCTGTAGTACTCCCAGCTACTCAGGAGGCTGAGATGGGAGGATTAATTGAGTCCAAGAGTTTGAGGCTGCAGTGAGCTGTGATTGCACCACTGCAATACACCAGCCTGGGCAACAAAGCGAGACCCTGTCTCTTTTTTTTTTTTGAGATGGAGTCTCGCTCTTGTTACCCAGACTGGAGTGCAGTGGCACGATCTTGGCTCACCGTAACCTCCGCCTCCTGGGATCAAGCAATTCTCCTGCCTCAGCCTCCCGAGTAGCTGGGACTACAGGCGCGCGCCACCATGCCCAGCTAATTTTTGTATTTTTAGTAGAGACAGGGTTTCACCTTGTGACCAGGATGGTCTCGATCTCTTGACCTCATGATCCACCTCCCTCGGACTCCCAAAGTGCTGGGATTATAGGCGTGAGCCACCGCGCCCGGCCTGACCCTGTCTCTTAAAAAGAAAAAAGGGGTCCAGCACGGTGGCACATGCCTGTAATCTCAGCACTTTGGGAGGCCAAGGTGGGCAGATCACCTGAGGTCAGGCATTTGAGACCAGCCTGGCCAACATGGAGAAATCATGTCTCTACTAAAATTACAAAAACTAGCTGTGCATAGCAACGGGCACCTGTAATCCCAGCTGCTTGGGAGGCTGAGGCAGGAGAATCACTTGAACCTGAGAGGTAGAGGTTGCAGTGAGCCGTGACTGTGCCACTGTACTCCAGCCTGGGCAACGAGAGCCAAACTCTGTACAAAAAAAAAAAAAAAAAAAGCCAGGGGCTATTGTGTGGTGGCTCATGCTTTTAATCTCAGCAGTTTGGGAGGCCAAGGCAGGTGGATTATCTGAGGTCAGGAGTTCGAGACCAGCCTGGCCAACAAAGTGAAACCCATCTCTGCTAAAAATACAAAGATTAGCTGGGCATGGTGGTGGGTGCCTGTAATCCCAGCCCCTGGGGATGCAGAGGCAGGAAAATCACTTGAACCCCAGGGGGTACTGAGGTTGCAGTGAGCCAAGATTGCACCACTGCACTTCCAGCCTGGGCAGCAGAGTGAGACTCCTTCTCAAAAAAAAAGGAAAAAGGCACAGTCATTTCATTCAGTTGGACAGAAATGCATGCATAGGAAGGATGATACAGCAGCATTGTTTATGAGTCCAAACTGAAGCAACTCACCAAGAATATCCATCACCACTATAGAGCACAAATCAAATGTAGTATAGTCTTATAGTGGAATACTCTGTGGCAAAGAAAACGAATCAAAACTGTCTACAACATTGGCAAATGTCACAAACAGAACGTTGAACAGAAGCCAGACATTAAAGAGGAATATGATTCCATTTACTTAAAATTCAAAACCATGCAGCACTGGAGTGTGTAGAGATGTATTTGTTTGCTTTCTTGGGAAGGAAAAAAAGTCATTTGCTAATTAATAGTGATAATTCTGCTACTTGTTTCTTTCTTTTATTTTTATATTTTTTTAGAGACAGGGTTTCATTCTTGTCACCCAGGCTGGAGTGCAATGGCACAATCTCAGCTCATCGAAACCTCTGCCTCCTGGCTTCAAGCGATTCTCCTGCCTCAGCCCCCCGAGTAAGTAGCTGGGATTACAGACATGCGTCACCACATCCGGCTAATTTTAAATTTTTTAGTAGAGACAGGGTTTCTCCATGTTGGTCGTGCTGGTCTCGAACTCCCAACCTCAGGTGATCCGCCCACCTCGGCCTCCCAAAGTGCTGGGATTACGTGAGCCACAGTGCCACGCCCTTTTTTCTAACATTTATACCTCTTTTACAGTTACTCATTTTGATTGTTTGCAGTCATTGCATACAAACTTTTCAGGAAATACCCTCAGGCATGCAGAGAGCTGGAGGTGGAAATTATAAGAGGACCTATGTCCCCTATATTCAAGGACCTATGTCACCAACACTCTGCCCTCCTAGCCCCAGGGCCTCATAGGGATGTCTCTGTGCTGCCTGAGCCACCACAGTCCAGCCTGGTGTTCCAACACCACCAGTGCTGTCGGCAACAGAAGCAAGTTGTCCTCTGGCAGATGAAGTGGGTGCCACTGGCTTGCTGATTTCCCTAGATCCAGGCCTGCCATGTGTGTGGGGAGCTCCCCCAGCTGCCCAGGCTCATGAAGTGAGGCTTGGCTGGTTTGTTCTCTTTGTGGTTTAAGTCATCCCTCAGCTCCACCTGTCAGTGAACCACTTCCTGTTAGGGAAAACACCTAGAGGCAGTAGGGGGAGTGTTTGATCCCACCACATCTCTGTGGCTGCCAGAGCAAAAGTGATTTCATGATTGACGGGCTGCTCCTGCCACTCTCCACAGCTGACACTTTAGCCTCGACTTCCCCCCTTCCAGGCCTTCTGAAAGCTGCTACTTCCCAGCAGCTCTGTCCAAACACCACCTTTCCCTTTCCAAAGAGAAGAC